TTCAGAGCTTGATCGGGGATTAGGAATTGGTGCTGGGAGGGACAGGGGTGATCTGGCTTCAGTAGGATAGTGAAAAGTGTTTGATTAAGAACCAGGGAAGGGGAGAAGTTATCCTAGACCCCAGGGTTTAGATCTAGGGAAGCAATGGGCAAGGCTGGAGACAGAGAGCAAAGAGTGGTTAAAAAAAAAGCAGGACAAATATCAGGAATGGTGAGAGTGGTACATAATTGGGCAAGGACATTTTGTCCCCGGGGTGGGGGGAGTGGGGCAGGTAGGAATGACTAGAAAGAAGTGGGCAAAATATTGTTGACCTAGATGACACCAAGTAGAGTAGTTTTAAAAGGCCTGGAGTCTTTGCCATCAATATCCACAATAGAAGTTGAAGCCGAGGAAACTGATCCTTGAAAAAAGGGGAAAGTGGAATGAATTGCCCCACTATCTATAACAAAAGATACAGACTCACCCTCCACTGCAAGTCACCCAAAGCTTGGTGTCTGAGATGGTCATCATGGCTCCGAAGCTCCTAGGAAGCATGTCATCCATTCCCTGTTGGAGGAAATCTCCAGCCAGCAGAGAGCTGGCCTGAGGACTCTGAGAGCTGACTCCAGGGTCAGATGCCAATACCAGGCAGTCTGATTTGTGTGAGGGCCCCTGTGGGTAGGTCATGGCCTTGAAGGAATCCAAGGCTGTGGGCATTTCTTAGCCCAATGGCCAGGCTGGTGGCACTTGAAGCATGGGCGTGGAGGTGTGCCCTCATGTTGGGGATGCCCGAGATGGTTGGCTGGGTATTCTGTCCAGCCTGTAGCTATAGATTTCTTACCACAGAGGTGAACAGCTAAAACTTGGAAAAGTACTATTTTAGAGCAACTTCATCCCTATTATTGAAAACTTTAAATACCAAATTAATTAATCCCTACTATGGGGTGTGAGGGTCTGTCTCCAGTTTCTGTAACTTTTTTCAAGTATCTGGAGCAGATCAAGTAATAAAATGCATCTTTAAAATCAGTTAGCCTTCTGGGCTGTCAGGGGCCGGGGCCACATGCCTGAGGTAGCAGCCAGGCAGGACATAAACATTTTTATCTTTGTCTGGGTGGTTTCCTTAAGTGTGTCATAATTAACTGCCCTGTGTGCTGCCTTATGGAGCCCCTCAACCAAACAAGTGATCATAGAGATAAGACTCCCTTAAGCAGGGCATTGTCCATTCTTATGTAGCTGATTAAAAAGCACCAGTTTGGCTTAGCCTGGGGGATGACCACAAGCTTCCCCCTGAAGATTCAGTTCAAGGTGCCTGCAGTCATCCACAGGAGCTGTAGCTGGAGCCCAAACATGCGCCCATTCCTCAGGTAAGAGGGTAGAATAAAGAAGAGTATTTAGGTCATCCCAGATGGGATCCTGAGACTGTGAGATGTATTGAAGTTCCTGAATATATTTGGTGGGATCATTATGAAAGGAACCCAGACATTGACTAATCTGAGACAGATTGGCAAGGGAGAAAAGAACATGAAGTCAAACAATTCCCTCACTGTTGCTACCTCCTGAAGGGGAAATTGGGGAGCAGGAGTTGGGAAAGAAGCACCAAACTGCAGTCCAGATTGAGTATGGGACAGAGTCAGAATGTAAGGAGGAGGCCTTGATTGGAGGGAAGTGCCAGATCAGGATTGACATATGGGACAGGTTCCAGATTGATCTGAAGATCTTCCAGAGGGAATGCACAACTGCACCGACTCTGGGGCAAGTGCTGCCAGAGGATGGGGGCCAAGGCTAGGAGTTATTCAGTTGGAGGGGGCAGGAGGATGCCAAGGGAATGCGAGGCCAGCATGTCCTTGGTCAAGGAGGAATCAGCACAGGAGGTAACTGGAGGGGCTCGGACAGAAGTGAAAGAAGGAGAATTTGGGAAGGATTGCACAAGGAGTGAGAATACTTCAAATTGTAAGGAAGTCCTGGACATAAGCACTTCAGACCACTTCTTTAGCCTTCGGCAGTAATTATCCAGATCTCACAAAATGGAAATGTCAATCATACCATGAACAGGCTGCCAAGATTTATTATCTAGTTCCTAGTGTGGCCACATCTTACAAAAATAAATGAGCTATTTGGGCGTCAGGTGAAGAGATGGAGAGGTTTGAGGTTACACACAAGGCAAGCTGGGGAGACGAATGGGAAACTGAGGATAGATGGTTTCCCATGGGAGTACAAAGACAGGAACGAGAGAGCAGCTGAGTCTCTGGAAGGGACCTCAAGCTGCGAAACATGTGCGACTGAGCAAGGCAAATGTCAGACAGCAAAGGGAAGAAGGCAGGGGAGATTAAAACGAAGTTCTCAGGCAGTCTTCCACCTCAGTGGGCAAAGTCCTTGAAGTGTCCACTGCAAATTTGGGGTATCTCCAGATATCCCCAGGACCGGCAAAATTCCTTGTCCTATTTTATCTCCTCCACAACATTCTGGTGAGTGCGGAGCAAATTCCCAGGAGAGAGCAGTGCATCTGCTGGCAGCAGGTTGGGGGCTGAGAGTCAGATCGGGTTGGAACCTTGCACTATCCTTCCTTGTCCACACTGCAATGGTGAATTGCACAGGCTGTAGTGAGTACCCAGAGGTAAGACCGCTCACCAGCCTACACCTCCCAGGTGAGGCCTTCCTCTCTTTTCAGTGCAAAATGCCACTTGCCCAGTGGCCCCGACTTCGTATCTGGTTTCCTTGCTTTATGGTTTTTCATTGCTTGATATCTCTCCCACGTACTAGAGATTTTGTACTTCATTTTGTTTATGGTATACCCCTGTCCTCTAAAAGACTACTATGAAAGCAGGCATTTGTTCATTTGCCTGTTTTGCCTGCCAGTTCCCAGAACTGTACACGCAGGTAACTGACACTTGATAGGAAGGAGAAGAGGAGCGGAGAGTGCAGTCTGGGTGGAGGGGTGGCCAAGGAAGCTTCCTGAATAAGGTGACGAAGCTAAACTGTTGTTTGAAATGTAGTGCACCTTCTGGCACACAGCAGAAAAAGGAGAACACTTTTAGGGCTCTTAAGTAGAGTGCTGGGGCCTGGGGGGGGGGGCGGGGTGCGAGGAGGGCTGTACGGAAAAAGGCCACAGGCAAACAAGCGGAGCCTGGCCTGTGCTCTCTGGAGGGTAAGGTCCAGGTGGACGAGAGTGGCTAAGGGCAGAAAAAAGACCTAAGAGGCTGAGAACTACTTTGTTTGAAAGAAACAAGGTAATGATGGAACAGAACACACTTCCTTGTGTGCTTCCTGATGGTACCAAGCATTCGAACACATCCCTTCACAGCCATTATACCAGGATGCCGGAAATAGGACCGGAAATGTGTGAACCTTTCACAAACTAGCCAGTTTAGCTTATTAGACAAGAAATTTTTCCTTTTCTGTAGGCTGGGCCATAGCACCTAAGTGATCATGGCTTGACAGACAAAGCTCCCCTGTTCTACTCCTCTCCACCAACCGTAGCAAGCTCATCTCTTTCCTTCCTGCCTAGTGCTCCATCCTGGTCCTCTCCTGCAGTGTACAGGTTAACAGAGCATGACGAACTCAGAGTGTGGGACTGTAATAGTGGGATTTAAAAAAGCATAAGAAACACACTAAAGGGGAGGAAGGTACACATTGCTCTCAATAGCTGATGGGAAATACAAGTTAATAGGGCATGAAGGACCCCAAGGTGTAGGACTAAGATAATGGTCAAGAAACAAGAAAAGTACAACAGAGAGAAAGGAGAGAGACAGACAGACAGACAGATAAACACAGAGAGAGAGACAGACAGAGATAGAGACAGAGAAAGAGAGAAAGAGACTCTAAGGGAGACTCCTAGGTCAGTGCTCTCAATAGCTGATAGGAAGCTCAATAGCTGATGTCCCAAGAAAGGGGACAGTCAGCCTGTTAAGGAAGGAGATGGCTACCAAAGTCAAAGCACCGAGCAACAGACATAGGGTGGAAGAGGCCACATTGGGGGAAATGTGTTCATTTCTCACCAAAAGATAAGGGCCTAGTTATTTGAAACTGGCCAGAGAAGGCTTGGGGTGAGGAGGGAGAGATCTTCCAGAAAGCACATGGGAGATGTTACATGGTCCTTGGGTAGGAATTCATGTGGGGAGCAATGTAGAAATGAGGACCTCTTGGGGCTAGGGGTTTAGCTCAAGATGTAAGCACCTGTCTGGCAAGCACCAGGTCATGAGTTTGATCCCCGGTACCAAAAAAATAAAGAAGGAAAGAAGGAAAGCAAGCAAGCAAGCAAGCAAGCTCTTCAGCCCCTGAAAATGCTTCCTTCTCTTTTTATAGAGCTTCACAGCCAGGTTTCCACCTCAGCCTCATTACTGAATATAGTGAATTCAATTTCAATTGAAGGAATGGACCAACTAGCCCTCCTCTTTCTGTCACAGCCTTGAGGAGAGTTCCTCTGTATGAACTATATCTGATCAAAGGGGACAGATTAAGTATACATGCCCATAAATGGTAATACACACATGTGCTGGGTACATCCTTGCAATCATTGCCAATGAATATACTGGCCAAAGATCAAATATACCTGGAGTAATGGAAATCCCAAGCTCTGGCACTGCTTATCACATCCCCAGAGTTCTCCAAGGGCAGCAGTCCTTATACACCCCACTCTTACCTTTGCTCGAAACCATTTTCCTATATTCACTCTAAAGCATCAAGCTCAGAACACAATTGTCTTCCTTGAAGACTTCAGTCCATCTCCATCTCTTCATCCACATTATCATCTTCTCTTCCAAATCCCTGGCACAAATGTTACTCAGCCAACCTAGATCTAACAGTTCTCTTCGTTCCTAAGCCTGAGCCCCTAGATGCACATGAGATTATTCAACCTCCAAATCCTACATCCCACCTTATATCTCCTAGGTCAATCCTTAGGAGTGTATTAATGGGAATTCTCAGTGAGTGAAAACAGGAAGATTTGCCATGTGACTACCTTCTCTATACCCAGCCTACCCAGTGCACATAAATATTTTGGTAAACAAACAAAAACCAAAATATAGTAGCATAATAGCATGTTCAACATTTATTGAAGTGGTCAAGAAGACAATAGTACAGAGTACAGAACACTTCACAAGGATCTCTTGGGTCTAAAAGTTACACCGGAATAGGGAAGACTGGAGGCGGCCAGATATAGGGAGACTTCTCATCCATGGCACTCTTTGGGTCTGCTGGCATGGGGTAGAATCAGCTAGGTCTCTACTCTGGAACCCAAATCCCCAGAATTCTAGGCTTCTCCTATGCCTGCTCATGCAGAGCGAAAAGGTGTTCCGTGTTGTGCTGAGGTCACTGCATTAAGGCCTGGAATGCGTTGTGCATTGATGTCCTTCTTCACTCCGCTATGCCAGTGTCCATGATCTACATCACAACCAACTAAGGGAGAAAGTCAGATGAGGCCTGTGGCCTGACTGAGGATTTCCAAGAAGCTCAGTCTCTTGGCAGTAACTTACCATGAGGAGACCCCTTCAGGGGAACAGGAACCCCATGCCATTATCCTGACATTCTTTCAGTAGTCTCCAGACCCAGGGCAGCATCCCTAGGGTGATGAGGTGACAGAGTGAAGGTTACTACAAGTACTTGTTCTCCAACATTACCTCACCTTTCTTCAAGCCGCCACTAATGAGAATGCTCCCAACTAATCACATCTCAGTTGTCAGGTGTTTTTTCCACACCAAATTTGTCTTAAAAAGGAATCTCAATGCACAGAAAAAAAAAACAACACTTAAAATGGAACCATCTTAACATGTTCCCAACAGCAGTGTAATTCATATGTCTCACTGCTGGTATAAGCCAGCAGAATCCCATGAAGCAGCCAGATGTGGTGCACTCCACTACAGTCCTGCACTGAAAAGGCTGAGGGGGGACCAACCAGTTTGAGACCAACCTGGGTAACACAGTAAGAACCCAATCTCAAAAAATAAATACAGAAATGAATAAAAACTCTAAAACAACTCCTTGCAGGGAAATTGAGCAGATATATAGTTGGCAGAGAGAGACCTCAAGAGCTCAACTCTTAGCGCTCTTCCCACCAAGGTCTCAAAGGACCACCCCAGCTGCCATGCCTCCATGCTGTCATTACTGTCCTGCCCATCTGTCTACCGAGCAGGACTGGGAGCCATTGCTCACCTCAACTTCAAAGTCTACCACATATCCCCGATCCCCAGAATCCCTATCATATCACATGACTTCCAAGGCCTGCCCAGGCCCACCATTTCCAAAAGGCTACTTCTCTTTGAACATTTGTGGTAATGACTGTGTATTACCCAACATTTCACTTATTCACTACATACAATTTGTCCTAGCTCCTTCCACCTCTTAAATGTATCTAATGCTTAACATGTATACAGTCTGGTCTCTTAGAATGACAGGCAAAGCTGAGAGAGACCAAGACAAACTATCTCCCATCACCAACCCTCACACAACAGCCCTTAAGGTTCCTGAAACTCAAACGTGTTGTCAGGAAAGAAATGTATGAAAGCGCCAGCATTTGAAAGGGACAGGCTGGACCCTTCAAACACGGGAAATGGCTTTCAATTCCTCTCCCTGCAAAACTGATGACCAGGGCACAGGCAGCCCATGATCACTTTCGAATGCAGGTGCACACACCAGAGAACAGCCCTTGAAGAGACGCCAGTCCCAGGGGCCCATGGAATGGGCCAAGTCCAGGAAAACAGCCCAGCTAAGCATAGGACTCCGACGGTGACAAAATTCTCAAAAAACCTCTCTGCCACAGGAAATCAAAAAGAAGTTAACTTGGACAGAAACACTGGAAAAATATGTATCACTTTATTTTTCAAGTCCAGAAAACTGGATTGAGCTGGTCATTGAAATAGCGGCAGAAGGGGACCCCCATCCCCAGATTCACCCATTTTGCATTACAACACGCTGCTGCCTACATGCAGGCAAGGAGGGCCGACAGCTGGGAGACTTATTGCCCAAGTGAGACTCTGGAGGTTTTTCTTTTACAGCAGTCACTAAAAACAAGTGTGATGGCTGGGATGCAAAATGTCCTCCCAAAGGCCCACTGTGTTGCAGGCTTGGTCACCAAATGATGGGCTTTTGGGAAGAGACTGGATCCTCATCAAGTGAATTAATCCACTAATGAATTAAAGAACTGAATGGACTTATCAAGAAGTGGGGCCTAATTGCATGAAATAGGTCACTGGGGGTCTAGCTTAGAAGGGTATACTTTGGGCCCTATCTCTTTCTCTCTGGCTTTTTCCTGTCTCTGTCTCTCTTTCTCTGCTTCTTGACTGCAATGGATTTCTTCCACTATTCCCTCTGCCATGACATTTCTGCCTTACCATAGGCCTAAAAGCAATGGAGGTATCAGACCATGGATGAAACCTCTGAAATCCTGAGCCAAAACATCTCATTTAAGTAGTTTTTCTCAGGTATGTTGTCACAGCAACAGAAGGCTAACACAGCATGCAAAGCGTGAGATGTGATCTAGCTTGTCTAGGTTGGCAGATTTGCCACCCTCATCTCACCTCCCAGTTTTCCTACTTCTGTGTCTCAAAGTCCCTGAACACATATGCAGGGCTGTATTAGATGCAAGGGATCAATGGACCAGAGATCTTACCTCAATGACACTGGAGTCTATGGTGCTCCTGATCTGACAACTTCCAAGACATCTGCAAGAGACAGGAAGCACTAGTGAGCATCCAGCAGCGTAGGCATGAACGTTACCAGGAAAGGGCTTGGCACAGTAGATATCAGATGGTAAGCATTTCAAACATGGCAGTTATTATTTCCTAAATAAATACAATATTTCCTTAGGGAAATTAGAGTTAACTAAAGAGAGAGATAATGATGATCTGCACCAGGGTGGCTAGTACTGAGTAATACAAAACACCGATTAGTTGAGTGGCAGTGACTCTGCTGACCACCAAGAGGAACTTAAGAAACACATAAAAGCAGGGGGCAGGATGTGAAAGCCCTAGCAATGACAGTAATGCACACAAAACAGCCGGAAAGCCCAAGCTATATGATGAGAAGTGTGGGAAAGCGCCTAGAAATGAAAGGCAAGCATGCAGACCCTCCAAACATAGGACAATTCTTTCCACATTTCCTCTACCTGCACTACCAATGCCCAGGGCATGGGGGTCCCTGATCACTTACGAATGCAGGAATAGAAAAGGGCGGGAGAACTGCTGTAAAAGGAGGCAAATGGCACAAGTTTTGAGCAGCCAGCCCAACTAAACACAAAGACCCAACAATGGTTTCCAATTCTTCAAACATTCCTTCAACATGGCCAGACAGGGGAGGCAAAGGAAAGACACTAAAGAAAACTGATGGAAAGCACAGTGTGCTTGTAATCCCATCACTGAGGTAGCTGAGGCAGGAGGACTGCTGTGGTCTGAGACCAGCCTAGGCTAGTGAGTTCAACAGCAACCTGCACTCACAGCAAGACCCTGGCTCAAAAAACCAAAGCAAGCAAGCTAGCTAGCTAGCTGATGTAGTTCTTGAATTGTAGAAGACAGGAAATTATGACCCAAAGAAAAACTGTGTCATCACATCCCTGCATTCTAGTGGATGAAAGTGAGGATTAAAAAAAAGGGCAAAAGATAGGAAGCGAAAACAAAGTGACTTAAGACCTGGGTATAGCTGAGTACAGTGCAAAACTCCTTCCTGCTTTGACTTGGGCATTGTGCCACCAACACACCAAGGAAGGAGAGGATCCTTACAGATTCCAGTCCCAAACCAGCACACCAAAGGGAGTCACATGCATCTCAAAACCCAAAGATGATGGTGCCTTCATCTCACTTCTATCTATGTCACATCTAGGAAATCTGCATAAGTCCCCAACTTCAAGAGGACACACTTCAGTCAGGAGGACCATGGTCCAGCTGCTTCCTGGCAAGATGGACACCTCTTAAAGCTCGGTTACATCTAGTTGTCATCTCTGTAATAAACAAGAAGTCCCAAGTAAGTCATCAAAACATCACCTGGTCAAACCCATCCTAATACATGTAGTAGTATTACATGGAGTTCCTGGCACAGTAGCTAGCTGCTGTTCCTCACAAACGTGTGCTGCTGTTACTAACCTGTTCTTACACAGGAAAAAAGCTAACAATGTCGCAGGGCACAACAAAATACAGAAAATTTTTCAAATCATTTGTTGTGTAACTCTTAAGAAAATGTAGAGGTTCCAACTGGGACCTGTACCCTGCCAAAGAACCTCAAATGGATACTTATTGATTATCCAAGTGCAAAGCTCAAAGAACCCGGTGCTGTCTTCACTTCAGATAGATTTCGTCAGCCCTCTTAACAGAGTTCACAGGAAGAAAGACTTTCGGTAAAAATGTGCAATTGTTCATTCATCCCGTGATTATCTACATGTAACCAGCACCAGAGTTGAAAACAAGAAAAGCGGGCAGCTCTCTGATCTCAAGAACTTTGTATCTTCCCTACTTAACAGAAGTACAGCTTAGTAGCATGAGGGAACTCAGCTAGGATCTGACCTCAGGTCTGACCCCCAAGTGTTACACCAGGCTTCAGTGTGCACAGGAGCTTTGCCACATAGACCTCGGAACCCCTAGGTGCTCAACCACCATCCCCTCAGTGGATGTTCACTGAATCAGGATCCAGAAGGCTCCCAGTCCTCAAAGAGCTCAGCGCAGCAGCACTTACCAGGACATTGGGTCCCTAGAATGCCCAGGGCAGGGCGCGCTGGGTGCTGCAGAACCAGCAGCGCTGGCCAAGGAAAAGTTTCCATCTGCCTCCAGGAGGCTGCGAAGCAGAAAGACCTAAGCAGGGGAAAGAGGAGGGAAGGGCTTCAGTGCACAGTCAGAACGCTGTCCCCTAGGGCCCTGGGAGCGGTCTCAAACAAAACCTCAGCCACAGAGTATGCAAAAAGGAAGTTTTAGCGCTGGTTTTAAAAGGCTTTTGGTGAAAAGAGGTCAGTTCTAGGTCACAGCACAACACTGACCCCGTATAGTCAAACGAAAAGCAAATTCTGGGCTGCGAACGCCACTAGTCCGAGTCCTGGCCGCGGGTGTGAAAGACCACGGGGTGTGTGGTCTCAGACCAAACGGGGCGTCCTCCCAGGAGGAAGGGTCAAACACAACACCCTTCTGGGACGCTCAGCCCGGCGCGGCAGAGGCCTGGGACATGTAAGCCCTGGAAATCCCCGAGTAACAGACGCGTCGGTTTCCCTTACGTGAGGGAGAAACCTCAAGCCTTTAAGAGCCGAGCGGAGAGCACGCTCCGAGCGCGCACCCGCAGTGACTTAGCCGGGTGCGGAGACGGAAGGCAGCAGGGAACACAGAGCACAACACCGGTATAGGCTGCAACACAGCACCTTGCGGATGGAGAGGAAGCGCTGCTACCTTGGCGCTCCGCTATCCCTGCGGAGCTGCGGCTGCGCGCAGGCTGCAGCCTAGAGCGGCGCCTCCGGGCCAGGCCAGGCTTGTGCGACTGGCTCTGCAGCGCCCCCTGGAGAAGAGGACTTGAAATTCTAACCCTCCAGTAAGGCTCTCTATCCAGGCTTCTTTACCACCAAACATCCCTCTTTCCCCGCATCTTTCCTCCCATCCACATATCCATGCATCCAATTATCCAGAAAATACTTAATGAAGCACAGCTTTCTCATTTGTCCAATTATTCATCTTTTCTATTGAATTATCAGCCCTTCCGCCATCCAAACATCTATGCACTAACCCATCTCTTCATTTTTCATCAAATCTATTCATCTAGATTTCCATCCATCTAGCAAATCTACTGAGCAACAACTTCACTTTAAGGATGGACATATCGGAAATATATGTCCAGAAATATGAAAATAGTCATAATTTCTGACTTTATTTTAATGGGACAAACCAGAAAATGCAATAATTAAAAATCATAGCTGAGCATAGTGGTGCATACCTGTGGCAGGCTAAGGCAAGAGAATCACAACTTTTAAGCTCAGACTGGTCAATTTAGTGAGACCCAAAACCATAAAGTATAAAAGGGGCCGAGGATGAAGCTTAGTGCAAAGATCTTAAGTTTGATTTTAGTACTGCCAAAAAAATGAAACAAAACAAAAACATAAGTGTTACCAACTCAGCATAAAAATAAAAAGAGCTGATCATAAAAGAACTATTTTTCATGGTATATCCGTTGCAATGACTTCTATTAGTTGACAGCCTAATAACTAATATTTTAGGACACATTTATAATGTTTCAATTATTTTGGTCCATTTAATCATCATACCAAGTGTTATGGACTGAATGCTAATGTTGCCCCCAAATTCATATGCTGACCCCTTAATCCTGAATATAGTGATATCAGGTATGAGGTGTTTGGGAGCTCATTAGAGTTAGATCAGGTCACATGGATGGTCCGCGTGAGTGTTTTTGGTGCCCTATTAGAGGCTCTGAAGAGTTTGCTTCCTCCGGCCATTTTACAGTGAGAAGAAAACCACCAGGTCTGTAAAACAGAAAGTTGAACCTCACCAAATAGCAAATCTACTGGTTCCTTGGTTTCAGACTCCCAGTCTCCGTAACTGTGGGAAAGAGTTTGCTATTGTTTATAAGTCATTCAGTTTATAGCAGTTTGTTATGGCATCTCAACTGGACCAAACCACTCATCCCGTAACTTAAACATTGCAGTCATCCTATTTGTTGATAAGGAAATAAGCACTCAGAAAGTTTAATTAGCTCATCCAAGGTCATGCAGCTAATGTGTCAAGAACTGCGTGGTGCCAGGCATGATGGGGTATGTCTGTAACTCAAGGTCAAGGCCAGCCTGCACTGCCAAGGGAGATCCTGTCTCAAATCTCTCCTCTACAACAAAAAAAAAAGAAAAAGAAAGAAAGAAAACAAAAGAACGGTACGGTCTGAGAGTTAATCTTGTTTACAAGCAGACACTTTAGCTTAGAAGTGTTTTAATAAATATTTACAGAGGACAGGAAATGTCCAAGTCAAAGGACTTCATTACTCATAGCAAGAGCAGTAGGCAGAGCTTCCTGTTCACCTGGGTGCCTTGTGCCTCACTAGTCCTTTGGGGGCAGTAGCACCCATGATGGGTTCCTGTTTATACAATGTGTGGGAGTGTGACAGGATATGAACACTGTGCATGGGAAAGTCATTCTGCTAATGGGGAATAGAGACAAACCTGGGAAGCTTTAGTCTGGGAGGAGCATTTACCTCATCCCACAAGGCTGTACACTGCAAAACATAACCTTAACAAACTGCCCAGATGACCCGCAGTCAGGGCCTTGCATTTGTGCCATCCCCAGCGAAGACAGGCATAAGTGCTCAGGGCCTGTGACACATCCTCTCTCCCAACAGTAGACTGTCAGAGTCAAAATTCAGGGCCATAAAGCAATCTAGGAGCCATTAATAGATGCTTCCATTACATTTGATAATAGTATTTAAGTTCTATTACTGATCAAAACAGTATATTTTAGAATGCACAGACTAAAAGGGTATTTTCATCATGTCATACAGATCAATGCAAACATAGAACATTATATTTTAAGGTGAAAGGTTAAGAACAGACGGTGTAACATCACATAAACCTGAATGGTCAGTGGTCAGGACATCTGACCTTTCCACTGTTTTGTCATTCTCAGAATAGGACCCTGCTATGGACCGAATGCTGACATCCCTCCCAAAATTCACAGGTTGGACTCTAATCCCCAGTGTGAATGTGTTTGGAACTGGGCCTCCAGAAGATGATTAGGTCACTAGGATAGAGTCCCCACTGATGGAATTAGTGCCTGTATTAGAGAGGACACCAGAGTGCCCCTTCAAGCCTTGAGTTGGTTAAACCCCATGATTTTGAGAGTGATCACCAGCTGATGCAGGTGTTCTGTGTTTGGATGGTACATCCCCATCCCTGTGAACCTGGAGCTTTTCATGTCTGGTGTTTGCATCTGCCAGGCACTGGGTGCAGCTGTGGACTGTGTGGTTTCCTTGCTTTATATTTTTTGAGCTTGGCCTCCTGGCAAAAATGAGGCTATGTGTATTGAGCACTGTTTTTCACCCAGACAGGGCTCAGTACTGTGAGGATGGTAGAGCATCACAGCAGGAGCTCCGCACAGGAGAGAAGAATTGCAACTAACGACAGAGTGTGAGTGAGTACAAAAGGGGATAGAGAGTGACACCCAGGGCTTGCAAAGGAAGGTGGCTTCTTGGAGGTGGTGTGCATTGGGGGCATTTTGGAGGACAGGAAAGGACAACAGGATAGTGTTTAGTGGGAAGAGGGAAGAAGTAGACTGTGAAGTTGATGGGAAAGAGATGAGGGGCTGGGTACATGTGCTGGTGTGGAGAGAAGTACAAAACCAGAACGTACAGTATGACCATAGCTCATTCCACAGTCTGTAAGGATGCCTTTACATGTTTATACAAGGCAAGAAGCAGCCAGATGCTGTGGCACAGGGCTATGTCATGACCAGTGCTCCGGAAGGCTGAGGCAGGAGAAGCTCAAGTTCAAGCCCATCTTGGGCATTTTAGCAAGATCCTGTCTCAAAATTTTTAAAAAAAAGTGCTGAGGACATAGCTCAAGGCAAAAGCCCTCTTTTTAGTCCCTATTCTGCAAGATGGAGAAGAGGGAAAGAGAGGAAGGGAGAGGGAGAAGAGAAAGAAGAAAGACAAGGAGAAAGAGGAGAACGGGAAGAAGAAAAAGAAGGAGAAGGAGCAGGAAAAAGATAAGGAGAAGGAAAGGAGGAGAGAAGGGAGAGGAGATGGAGAAAAAAGAGAAATGCTCACTTTAGTGGTGAGAGAGGGAAACATTTAATTCTGAAATGTGGGAAATATTTCTTGTGCTCTAATCTACTCTTGCCTCTAAAGGCTTTTTAAATGGAGGAAAAGGATAACTGAGCTGATAGAAATAAAAGAAGAGCAGAAAGTGAAATGGCAGAACATGGACATTGTCTGATTTAATCGACAGCCACACAGTTTCAGGAATGAGCAAAGGCGCGTGGCACCATCAGAGCAGAGAGTAAAATGTGAAAGAACACTGTTGACTCTTCCTGTAAAATTTAAAACAGAGGAAATGAACACACACCAGGAAATATTTTTAAAGTCACTTTAAGAAAGAACAGAAAACTTGAAAAATCTTATTTTAAAAAATGGAACCAGTGGTTAATAATGTTTACACAAAGAAAACATCTTACACCCAGGTATCTTTATGGGTTATTGTACAGTGTTGTTGTTGTTTTTTTTGAAAACATAGCTATATATAAGCCTTCTACAGTCTCTTGGATTGGAGAAAAAATCCTCAGCTAATGTAATAACCAGATCTTAAAATCAGATAAATTCAACAAAAGGAAATGTAATTTATAGGCGAATTCATTTGTGAACACAAAGAGAAACATCTTAAAAATATTTGCAATCTCTCTTGGCCCTGATGCTCCTGAAGGGCAGGAATAGCGCTGGGGATTGGTGGACATGAGAATGGGGCGATGGAAATTAACTGCATCTTAATCATGGTGACAGCAGATGGAGGACTCCGCTGAGCTGTGACCACCTGCAGCCTCCCTGATGTTCCCTCCTGCCTTTCATCACTGTTGCAGGCATCTCTGCACAGAGCCTGCCTCTCACGGGGCAGGGCAGGAACCCAGGTGAGGAGCCCAAGTACCAGCAAACCAGAGGGCCCCCAAGAGGCAGTGACTAGTTTGGGCTCCACACCTCTCAGTGCATCCTGGAGAGAAATTCCCTTGGAGCAGGGTTCTGCAGAGGTGGGAGACTCCTCCCATAACTAGAAAAAGAATGGAAGCACCTTTCCTTGGCTCAGACTTATTTCTTTCTTCTTCTTTTTTTTTTAATCAGAGCCTCACTATGGAACCCAGGCTAGCCTCAAACTCACAACCTTCCTGCCACATCTCCTGAATGCTGGGATTTTGAGCATGCAATACCAAACTGGCTTCAGAAAGTAATTTTGAGGATTGGTAGCCTGAATGTCCAAAATGTGAAAAACAATATTTTTCCTTACTGCTGAAAAACCTGTGTCTTTTTCTAAAGACCCTGCATACTTAATTATCTTTTGCTTGAATTCATGAAGCTGGCAGGAAGGTGTTGAGGGTTCTCCCGTAGGCATTACTTTTGGGAGGTGTTCTCAGCAGTCTGTTAGAAGGACTCACTATTTCAGGGTTAGAATGCTTCGCATAGGATCACTGTGCTGCTCCAAGAGAGGCAGACTAAGAAAATGCCTTCGTGCCATAATTTAATGATTTCTGTGACATCAACTCAGCCAAGTTCCCCAAGCATCTCTGCCTCTCAGCCACAGACTGAAATATGAGTGCAGTGTGTGTCCATATGTGGCAGTCCACAGGGCAGCTCAGGAACGGGTGAATGGCACTTGGGGACCAGACTGGCTGACACTTCCATCAAGTGACAGTCCCAGACCTTGGAGCCTGAGCATGTGGCTGCCAAGAGAAAGCAGAGAAGGGAGGGCAGATACAACAAAAGAGGAAGCACGGTGGGGTGAGGACTGGGCCTGGGGATCCACAGCGCTCATGTGGCTAGTTGCTGCCTGGCCCCTGGGCACCACCTGCTTGGAACATTCTGTCCAGCCAGCTACAAGTCCTGTTCTCAAAGGAAGGACTCTTGGTTCAACTTCTGTGATGTACAAACTTCACATGGTGGGATTTGTCCTACCAGAGACAACCAAACCATTTATTAATGCAATCAGGAGCTGAAAGGAGGGTGCTAGTAGTATGTAATTATGAAAAAATTGTTCCCTGTCTCTGCACATTTGCTAAATGCAAGAATCTTTTCCTCATCCCTAGAAAAAGACAAAGCAACCCTCCTAACTTTTTTGATCAGTTTTAGATAGTAAAATCTTGCAGGGTGCAGGATGTAGCTCAGTGGTAGAGTATTGGCTTAGAACATGCCATGACCTGGGTTCAATCCCCCACATCACAACATTTAACAAATAAAATAGAAATGTTGCAATCACTAAAAATTGGAAAGTTTCCATTGAATTATTTCAAATGTGAGTCTCATGCATTAATAATGTTTCCCATGATTATTCATAGGTAAGACTTCTGTCTTCTCCACAAGCTAGGCCTGAGCACAGGTAGAGTACTGTGGGCCTCCAAGAGCCTGACCAAGGGAATAAGGAATAAAGGGGAGGGGGCAGCTCTGGTAACTGCTACTGTTGCAAGAAGGTGGGGTAAGTACTGAAAGCTGAATCTTTGGATTTTTCAGAGACTCCCCTCCTCACCTCCTTTGACCTGCCCCTGCCAATATGACAAGTTCTCTGCTTAGACTTCTTCACCCTAGTGGGCTTTCTCTTGGGCAGGACTTTCTGGGTATTTGGCAGACATTTGCCTCACAGGTTCTATACCTGCTGAAAGACACTGAACGTTTGACTCAGGAGATGGTGAGGCCCAACCACCTGTGATCCCCAGCCCTAAGGGACAGTGATCTAATGATTCTCTGAAGCTCCTCTTTCTTACTTGGAGTAGGACACAGAGGCTTCTGCTCATCGCCACCACATGGGGACAGACGGTGAGACTCATGGCACTGTTCTTTCCTAAGACATACAGTTTATAATTCCAACTTGCTTTAATTTGTTTTTTAAAATCTATTTTAATTCAAAGAGAAAAAGATAAAACAAAATTTCAAAACACAATAATCAGAGGGCAATAATGGCACATATAATTGCACAGTACGAACCCCAAATCAGTCACCCAGAGCACAAAACATCTGCATTCAGTTGTCTATACAATACCAGTGCAAACTTTTCTCATCAATGAACTTGGAGAAATGAGTAGTATAAATATCTTAGGTATATACTTATATATAGTTTCTTTCAGCTTCTCACACTAGTGAGAGAAAACAATGTCTACACAAGTATGTCTCATATGGACACAAGTGGCACCTATTTACCTACAAAAATCTCATTTTTCTTTCTCTATGACTGAGTAGTACTCCATTGCATAAAAGTACACTTTTTAAAATCTATTACTCTGTCGATGGGCATTTAGGTTGTTTCCAAGGTCTAGCTGTTACAAATTGTTCTGCTACAAACATTGGTACACATACATTGGTACGGTATGATGTTTCTAATTCTTCTGGGAAGATACTCAGAAGGAGAATAACTGGGTCAAATGGGACCTCCAATCTTAGCTTTTTGAGGAGTCTCCACATGGATTTCCACAATGGTCGCACTGGGCCACAGTCCCATAAACAGTGGAGAAGGGTTCCTTTTTCCCTATAGTCCCTCCAGCATTTGTTATTGGTTGATTTCTCAAACCTAGCCATTCTTTCTGGGGTGACATGGAATCTCAATATTGTTTTAATTTGCATCTCTTGAATAACCGGTAATGTTGAACATTTTGTCACATATTTATTTGCTGTTTGTATTTCTTCATCTCAGACATGTGTTTTCATCTCAGGTACACATTTTTGTGTTGAGTTTTTAAATCTGGGAGGACTGATTGTTTTGAGTTCTCTTTATGTTTTGACAGCAAACATTTTTGTCTGAGGAACAGCTGGCAAACATTTTCTCCCAGGTTGTGTGATGTCTCTTCACTCTGTTGGTGGTTTCTCTTGCTGTGAAAACGCTTTTCAATAAGATGAGATCGGAGTTGTTGAATCTTTGTAAGGGTTCATGTGCAGCTGAGGTTTTGTTCAGAAAGTCTTTGCATACACCATTATCCTCCAGACTTTTACCTTCTGCATCCTCCAGCAGATTTAATGTTTCTGTTTAATATTTAGATCTTTGATCTATTCCAATTTTGTTTTTAGTACATGGTGAAAGCTATGGGTCCAGTTTTAATCTTTGGCACATGTTGAGCCAGTTTTTCCAGCACCACTTATTAAAGAGGCTATCCTTCTTCCAGTGAATGTGTTTGGCACCTTTGTCAAAGATAAGGTGGTTTAGTGTGTCTAGCATTGTTTTTCCATCTTATCTGTTTCACTGATCTTTGGCTCTGTTTTTTTTCTTTGTTTTGCCAGTACTGTGCTATTTTTATAGTATCGTTTTAAGTCAGGGACTGTGATGCCCCTGGCTTGTCTTTGTTGCCCAGGATTACCTTTGTTATTGTAAGTCTCTTCTGGCTCCAGTTGAATTTTAGGATTGTTTTTATTAATTCTGTGAAAATGCTATGGGAACTTGGATTAGGATTGTATACAATCTGTATAACATTTTTGGAAATATGGCCATTTTTACTCTATTGATTGTTCCTACCCAAGAGTGTGAGATATCTATTTTCTAATGTTCTCTTCAATCTCCTTTTCAGAGTACTGTAGTTTTCAATATAAAGGTATTTTTTATCCTTCATTAGATTGATTCCTAGATATTTACTTTTTTTTTTAGGATGATAGTATGAAAGGCGTTTTTTCCCTGGTTTTTCTCTGTGTGTTTGTTATTTGTGTCCAGGAAGGCTATTGAATTTTGAGTGTTGACTTTGTATCCATCAGGGTTTCTGTTTTTTGACAGGTTTTTAAATTACATTTTCAATTTCACCTAATCATATTCGTTTATTAAGATTTTCATGTCTTCTTGATTCAGATTTGGTAATTCATATGAGTCCAGGAATCTGTCGATTTCTTCTGTAGGCACCAAAGATGGAGAAATGAATGAGCCAAGATGACTTCCGTGGTATAATGGCCACAAGTAACACAAAAGAAAACGTTGGTTTGAATCATGGTTCTTCCTCTTTCCAGACTTCTGAGAGCACCTGTGCCTTAATCTTCTAAATGAGAAAACCCCAGTCTGAGGATCCAGAAGGCCACATCCTCCAAAGGGATTCCTGGCTCTTCTGGTGGGGTGTGTGTGAAACCTGAATACTCTCAGCTTCCTTCCTGTGGCTGCCTCTCTCTTCCAGCCCCTGAAGGACAATCAAAGCCAGAGTGCCTGCAACCTGAACTGATGAGCACAACCATCACAAGTCCATTTGCCTGCTCAGTCCTGGAACTGTAGCTGGTCTGAATTATGATGTGACCAGATTAAAAGACTTTGAGTACGAAAAAGAGTGGTAAGCAACTCAATAATTTTAAAATATTGATTACGTGCTATCAGATTATTTTGGCTATAGTATCAGGTTAAATAAAATACAAGTTAAAATTGTTGGCCGGGTTGATGGCACACGCCTGCAATCCTGGCACTTAGGAGGCTGAGGCAGGATGGTTGCTGAGAATTTGAGGGCACCCTGGGCTACACAGTGAATTTAAGGCCTGCCTGAACTACATAGCAAGACTCTGTCTCAAAAAAGCAAGGAAAATCATTCATTATTAATTATTGTTATTATTATTTTGAGGTTCTGGGGAGTCCAGAGCCTCCTAGAGGACAGACAAGCCCTCTATCACTGAGTTAATTCCCACCACTTTTTCATTTTGAGACAAGGTTTCCCTAAGACAAGACATCAGATGGCAACAAACTTGTGCTCCTTCTGCCTCAAAGTCTCTAGAGCTGGGATTGCAGGCATGTGCCACCACCTCTGACCACACCCACGTATTTCTAATTTATTTGAAGTTTAGCTAAGCATCCATCCTCTGCTTGCCAGTTGGGGCTCATTTTCTCACCCTTATGCTGCAGGGTCTGGCCAAAACTCTGATATGGGAGTCCGGTGTTGAGGTGGGTTTGTGAACCATACAGGAATGCAAACAGCCAAACTGATAAATCTGGAATTTAATTAACTGAGCTCAGGACCACTCAAATACAGATCCCCTCCCACATGTTCCAAAAAAGTGGCACTGAACTGGAAAGTTACAGAGTTTTTAAAAGAGAATCACAAAAGACATCCTGTTGCAAACAATTTTTCTCGAATCTTTCATTAATTTTCGGTTGACACCTGTATCCTGCTTCTTTGTTGAGCAGGTTAATTTTTCTCCTTGTAGGTACAGCTCATTCTGTTTTTCTCATGGGACTTATCCCATGAGTAGTTTTCCATTTTCCTGAATACAGGGCACTAGTTGACTGCAAAGCTTAAGCTGGCGTCAGTTATGCCAAGCTACAACAGTGTGTGGCAGGTAGCACAGGCGACATGACCGCACAGTAGTGAATCAGACAGAAGTACACAAGACGCTTTCAGGAGGAAAGGCAAACACATAGAACAACTTGGTCAGAGCTACGCAGCCTGCACTAATCATTCCTATCTATTAACGACAAATTAGTGACCAAAAAATGGCATCAGGACAACTGCGAAGCAGAGCAAATGAGATAGGCTTTCTTCCAAAATCCCAAGGGCTTCTTGAAAATATTCCCAAACCCTTCAGGCCAACGTTGGCCTCCTGTCCCTGTAGAGGGCGCTGTCGGGGATACGAGCATTTCTCCTGGTGTGGTGCGGATCTAGGCCGCAATCTCGTCTTCCAGCCGCGCTTCCGCCGGAGTTTCTTTTGTCACGGCGCCAGCTCCTCTCAGTGCCTCAGAACTCCGAGAATCTGCAAACATCTCTCTTCTTCCACAGCTGTCTGTTCTCTTTCGGCAGCCGCCCAACGCTGAGGCTGCACGGTGAGTTCACTGCGGGGCGCTGGTCCATTTGATGAAAGCGAGGCCCCGAGGGCGGGATGCTCCGGGGTGGTTACCGGAGACGCGTGTTCCCCGGGCCTTGGTCCCCGGAGACTCGCGTGTTCTCGGAGGAGACCAATAGTGGGCTGCGGCCTCGGCTGTCAGGGTACGGACGCCAATTGCGGTCAGCGTCCAGGCGACGCTGTTCGCGGGCCTGGAGCGAGGAGCAGAGGGCGCCGTGATCTTTCTTGCCCGCGTGTGGGCCTCCGGTTCGTGGCAGTCACGGTGCCGAATCCGCTTGTGGTTTGTTGAGACGGGAGCAGTGAGTGCCACCTAGGCACTCACCTAGGACCACCGGACTCCTTCCCCTCCACGATCTTTCAGGGCCAGGGCTCAAAATATCCATTTTGCTAAGGTCAATTACGGATGCTCCCAGAACCCTAGGAAACAGCTTCGATATTATAGACAGCTAAGTTAGGTAGTAATATAGACCGTCGGACAGCGCTGCACCCTGGAGAGTTCAATGCAGAAGAAAACTGTGGATGGAGGCACATTCACTGAAGGCCAGACTGCAGCAAGAGAGGAATTACTCAGTCATATACTTCCCCTAGGGATGAACAGCAACGTTTGATACTCAGGATAGGCATGAATCATCTCTTGGTAGAGGACCAGACCTTAATCCAATCCTTCCAGGAAAGTCCTTGTCCATCCCATGTGCTCTTGCTGTGTGACTTCCCAATTTGATCTCCATTTAATCAATATTACCCCAGCGACTATACTTGTCATAACCTTTTAGTTCACCATAGTCTTAGTTTACTTCATACTCAACTTTTGATTTTCCACAGGATCAATATTACCTGAGCAACTATGCTTGTAATCTTAGTGATTGGTTGATTGCATTTGTGTCCCACCTGGAACCTGCCTCACCTCCTGACTTTGCCCAATAAACACCCTTAGAAGTGAGATGGGGGGGGGGGGGGCAGCTCGCTTTCCAGGCTCCCTTCTGTCCCTCTGAGAAGCTTTCTTCCTCAGTACATTCTTCCTTCTCTTAACTTCTTTTTTCCTAGAATTCATTCCTCAATGTTAGAGAAAACAGACGCTGATTTTAGGACTTGTAGCAGGTTGGGATTTGTATTCCCTCTATGTCATTGGGACTGCAGTCCCCTGCTAGCACTGAAGCTCCTTCCTGTTTCCCCTGCTTAGGCCTTGCTTCTTCAGGGACATGTGGAGATGGATGGAAACTTCTCCTGTGGTCAGCACCTTGGATTCTGCAGCAGCCAGCCAGCCACTCCCTCCCCTACACTGCCTTTCCAGCTCTCCCTGCTGCCAGTGCAGAGCCCTGCTGTTCTGGTAAGTGCTTTGGAGCTGAACTCCTTGAAGTGGGAGCCCTCTTAGGTTGCCTTTCCACCTATACCTGCAGAGCAGTGGTGGTGGAGGGCTTGGGTTCTGAGATCTGCCTGGCAAAACCCCTGTGCAGACTGAAGCCTGGTGAAGCACATGGGGATCTTGGGGTCGGAGTTGGGTCCAAAGACACGAGGTCAGATTCTGGCTGAGTTCCCTGATGTTTCTGAGCTTTAGTTTCTGTGACATAGGGAAGCTGCAAAGATTTGAGAGTAGTGAGCTTGACTGATTGCCTTTTGAATCTTGCCCTGGCAGGGTATACATACTCTGGATATCTGTGGGGTAAAGAATTGAATCATCTTGACCATAAATTTGTATTCTGGTGAGGTTTTCATGGCAGGTGGAATTTCTTTTTCCCTTTGTAGAACTCAGTGTTGTATTGGGTTTTTGCTTTGAGTTACTTCACCTTATTTTTAGTTTATTTTTTGTTTTTAATTTTGAGGTGTTCTCTTGCTAAGCACTTTAATTGCCCAGATTATATTCAAACTTATGCTCCTTCTGCCTTAGCTTCCAAGAGCACTGGAGTTCCAGGCATGTGCCACCTCAGGTGGCAGCTCTGATGGAATCTTCTGTGTGATGATGGCTCTCAGGAGTTGGGCGTGGCTAGTAGTCTCCCATCTCTGGACTGCTGGAGGAAATTGTGGTTACATGTTAGCTTCCTGGTTTACCTGCTTGTCTTTGCCACAGTATTTGAAAATGATTAGGGCTGCCTGTGCCCTGGGCATTGGTAATGCAGGGAGAGAAACTGCTAAAAGCCTTTCTCTGTGTTTGGAGGGTTCACTCCCTTCCCTTACAAACTCTGGAGCTTTTGCACACCTTGTTGCCACCTTGTAGATGTCCCTGGGCCTCTGGTGTCTTGCTTACTGGGTGCTCTGTGCAGCTCAGTGCTGGTGTCTGAAGCTTTAGCAGGGGAGAATGGAGTTGAGTGCTTTCCTCAAGGAGCACCTGTGGGTGGGGAGTAAAGCCACAGCAGGGGTCACTTTTTTATCCTCAGCTCATTGTGAATGACCCTTTAGCAGTTGTTGGTTTGCTGGGCTCTGTATCTCTCCTGTGATCTTAAGGGGAGTGTCTGAGTCTTGCCCCTTGATTTATCTTATACCTGGCATGGCAGATTCTCAGTGTTTGGCACTTAGAGAACAAATGAAACTGAGAAAAGAAGAGAAGCCTGCCATGTCATGACCCTCAGCATAGTTTGGCACTTCACAAGCAAATTTTAGAGCAAGGCAAATCACCTGGCCCACCAGGGTAGGTATCCCAATGGATGCTCCTTTTGGTGCCAGGAGCCAAACAGGTAGGCCTGGAGATGGATGACATAGTCGAGTGACCCATGTAATCCGCCCTGGCCCTTAGATGACAAAAGTGGGCTAGTCTGGTGGTGCTTCAAGTCAAGGCTGCTGTGCATGCTGGCACATCCAGCCTTCCAGAGTCCAGCATTCAGCTTCAGGGCCACTGCAGACTAACCTACTTGTACATAAGATGAAACTGAGGATGTCCCTGCATGGTCTTCTCCTTAAATTAAGCTCTTTATGTAACAGACAGTAGGACACTGTTCAGGTAATTATGACAGTGTCTGTGAAGCACTTCCAACCTGCTAGCTTCTCCATGTACTGCCCAGGACAGCTTTGACTAAAGATTTTTAAGTGGTTCCTGCAGGCTTGTTTATTGCAGAGGTTGCAGCTTGGTACAGGGCAGACATGGACATATCTCTATTCTGCCAGGAAGCAGCTGGACCATGTAGCTCCAGGGAGAAGTGGGAACTCTGGAGATCTCCCATATCTGATATTGGGAACCCAGCTCAGAATCCTGATTTTTAGTCTCAAGAATGCCACGAGAAAATAAAAACAAGACAAGTATATAAAATTCCAACAATGGCTGGGAAGTCAAAATCTCTGGATCCCCTTCCTTCACTCTCGCACAGCCACTATTTATTAGCTGTATACGATGATAGGTGGGGCTAGCCAAGTATTACATTTCATCTGAAGACTCCGATTCCAGAGGGCATAGATGACCTTATGCTTAGAAGTGTCTTGTCCTTGAGTATAATCCTGAGATGACTCAAGAAGGAGTCTTCTAAACTTAAGATCACTTAAGATGATCTTAAGTTTAGAAGACTCAATAGGGACTCTGAGAGGAGTGGTGTCAGTAATCCCAATTCTTCCTTTTCTCCCATAGGGAAATATGCAAAACTAGTGACTGTGAATTTGTGGACCCTAAAGCTGGGAAGTAGATGGAAACTACATAAAGGCAGCTTCATCTGGTTCTCAGTTAGAGACGCACCTGGCTCTTGCTGTACCCACTTAGGGTCCAGCGGTTTATGGTACTCTGTGTTTTCTTTTGGTATACAGGCAGCAGAACTTCGGCATGAAATGCAGGAATAGCTTTGGCATTGTACTCTGCCATGCCCAAGTGCCCATCACCTCACTGCCATGTCCTAGTTTGGGGACCTGCCCAGATTCCTGGTTTCCTCATCAGGAAACTAGGGAGTGTAAAGTGGTAATTTGTCTTAGGTGTACATTGTTCCTACTTTCTTATGTGGGGCATCTTCCCTTTGTGTGTCTTGGATGGAGCAGGTTAAGTTCACGCAGGACAGGAAGGCAGCTGCAGGGTCCTGTTCTCTGTGCTGTTGCAATCCCGTCCCAGGCCATTTTCTGACACTTGCTGGCATTTTTGTCAAGGCCCATGTCTGTTTCCACTCCCTGTTCACTGTGACTGTAGGCTATATTTGGGAATTCAGAAAAGCCAGGAGGTTTTCCTCATGTGCAAGACAATGTTCTTTTCTTTCCAGGGGATTGGCAATGACCTCAGAACGTACAGTTAGAGGTGTCAATGGATTCACTGTCCACGACTGATTCGCTTGTTTCCTAGACATGCTGTCAGCAGTGCTAAGTTGGCTGATCATATGCTGGCTTCTTGTCTCTTGCAGGAGTGTCACACGTGTGCTGATGAGTGTGTGAGAGGTTTCCTCAGGGAGAAGATGGTGAAATGTCAGGTATGTGGTGATGTTCTTGGTTTTCTAGAGCTCACGTGTACTGTCGGTGATCAGTTGAGTTTCAATGCTCTGGATGGGGAGTGAGCTCAAGGGGGAAGGCTGCTTCGTTGTGCTCCTAGTTCTGTTCCACTTAGCCTCTTTATTTGAGGGGCTGCTGCAGAGAAAATGCTTCCAGAGCTGGGTTTGGGCTCCCAGCATCCCTGAGGGCGGCCCTCTGTTTTGAGGAGGAAAACAGCAGTGTGTTGGAATGGACAGAGGGCCACCTGGAGACTTAACTCTAGGTTCCTATGCAGTGAGCAGCGTTCTGGTCTTCTGTGTGCCTCAGTGGATGATGCTCAGTATTGTTACCACTCAAACCCAGTCTCTAGCTCAAGAATTCCGAGGAATTCTGCCAATATTTGCCTTCAGTTCATGTCAGGGAGCGCCAGGTGATCTCTAGAGTCACAAAGCAGCTTCTGTCCTCCCAGTTCCATCATTTCCTGGAATGCTGGCCATGATCTCTCCGTCCAGCTTAACTTCTGTCCTTCTGCACCCTGTATTCGAAAGTGATCGTGGGCTGCCTGTGCCCTGGTCATTGATAGTGCAGGGAGAGGAACTGGTGAAAGCCTTTCCCCGTGTTTGGAAGGTCTACTGCTGTCCTACCAGACCCTGGTGCTTTCCCACAGCTTTTAGATGCCTCCTGGCTCCTGCATCATCCAGTTCAGTAAGTGGCCCTTCTCTCTGGCCTGGGGCAGGTTTCTGTGACTTCTTGAGAGAAGGTTGTGGAAGCCTGGACCTCACCAGAAGTGGATGGGCTGTGATGGGTGTGGAGCCTTGGCATCAGGCTCTTCCTCCAGGGACTTTCTCAGTCTCCATCCAGTGGGCCTCAGCACTAAGCAGGCTGAGGGGCAGTTACTGCTTTGCTTGTCTCCTGGCTTCCTTCCTGGTGGTCAGAAGGGTGGCGCGTTTCTTCTGTGTCTTCATTTTCCAGAAGATCAGTTTTCTATGAGCCTAGGGCAAAGGAAAAACAAGGAGATTCCCTTTGCTGTAAGAGCTGGGATGCATCGCCTTGTGCAGGGCTGGGTTGGGGGTACAGTAAGCAGTCTGTGCAGGAGCACACTGGTGTTTTCTCCCCTTGAAGAATTCAACAGGTCACCTCCAGGGGACGGACAGCTTTTCAGCTCTAGCCTGTGCGTACTGTGGTAAGGAGCAGGGATAGGCAGAACAGGATGTAAGTGAGGGATTTATGGAAGTGGCCCTTCCTTACACAGCCCTCCTGCTGCTCTGTCTCCTCCTCAGGTCTGTGCCACATGCTGGCAGAGAAATACCACATTGAAGACAGTCAGTAATAGTTGGCGCAACAGATAAAACAGACACGCTCCACCACTTTTAGGAGATCTCCAGTCCCTTTCCTAGAGGTAAGCTGCTTTTGGGATTCCTAAAATAATGAGACCTTTCGTGATGGTAATATGGATAAGTCAACACTGTGCACCACTGTACAGAGAGGCTTGGTCCTAAGTGTCACAATAGAGATCGTCAGACTGGGCTCTGAGGTCAGGTTTCTGGTCCATTCTCAGGAGTTATGGCTTTTTGTACCATGTAACGTCGGTTCTTTTTCTCTGATTGTTTGCAGAGTGATGTAAGCAGGTGATGAGGAGGAGATGAAGGGTGATACATGGGTCCCCAGATCTCCCTCCATGGACTCCTGAATCTCATCTGGTACCAGGTTTGAACCAGCAAACCCTGACAGCAAGACAAAAGAAGATGTGAGAGAATTATTTTTTGCTGCGGGCTAGGGAGCTTCACGGAAAGGAAGCCTTGAACTGACTCAAACTTCAGATTTATTCAGGAGTAACAAAGACAATGTATTCTGCTGAGGTTTGTGTCAGGTTGCTGAATTAATAACTGTTACCTGATTATTCCTCTGGAAGCTTCCTTGTTTCCCTGTTGGGCTCTTCTATATGCGGGTTGACAAAATATCCTGTCCTGAAGATGTTCAGGCTCCTGGCTGGGGGTTTAGCTAAGTGGCATAAGCGCCTGCCTGACAAGTGCAAGCTCATGAGTTTGATCCCTTTTACCAAAAAAAAAGAGGGTTCCAGCTCTTTGGAGTTAGCAGCCTTGTGCTTTCCCATCCCAAGTTTACCTGTTGAAATTGCAAGGAACTCCACCATCTGGTACGCCACTCTAGAGTTGTTTTGTTTTGTTTTTGGAGACAAAGTCTCATTATGTCGGCCGAACTGAACTCTAATTCACAGTGAACCTTCTTACCTCAACCTCCTCGCTGCTGGGATTATAGGTGTGCGCCACCATAGCTGGTGCCACCTGCCTTTTGGGATCATGAAGGACCCAGCCCCTCCAGACCTGCTGGTACTGAGTTCTGGGCCTTCTTTTGTGTTACAGCAGCTGCAAGCTGTAACAGGAAGTGGGTGAACTTAGGCATCACAGACACCCAATACCTGTCTCTTCATTCCTCCATATGGTTGTGCCAGGGATCTAGTGGGATGGTCAGAACCCAGGGCTTTTACAGAGGGCTGGTTGTGTAGATGCCTTTGGCCTTGCAGGTGTGCAAGTCCAGACTCAGCAGGCGTCCAACCCAAGCCACATTGTTTGCACAGGGAGCTGGGTTCATGGAAGTGCCGTGAGCAGCTAGGTGTTTGACTAAGAATGTTTTGGAAGCCAGGTTTCAGGACCCAGTAAGGGCCACTGGCAGGAAGACAAAGCTCTGACAGGTGAATTTTACAGACATGACCATGTGATCCTGTTCTTCAGCCCCCAGATTTTTCTCATTTTGTCAGAGGGTCTCCCGTTTGATTCCCACATGGCAGTTGCAGGATCCTGTGCTCCTTTCCTTGTGGACCAGGCATCTGGCACCAGGCTCCTGTACATCTTGGCCCTCCTCCCTCTGCTCTTCTCTGCCCTATATTCGAAAGTGATTGTGGGCTGACTGTGCCCTGGTCATTGATAGTGCAGGGAGAGAAATATTGAAAGATGTTTTCCCCGTGTTTGGAGGGTCCATCTGTCCCTTCTGAACCCTGGAGCTTTCCCACATTCTTGTTCTCTTCTGCCAGCCTTGTAGGAATGCAGTGCTTCTTGGATTGCCACAGAAGTCAGTGTCAGGGGTCACCATGCCAGCGTCTTTCTCGCCTTGTCTTGTTTCCAGCAAGTAAGGTGTCTATGCATTGAGATGTTGCCCAGCAGAGTTCAGTCCTGTGGGGAGCAGATCAGGATTCCAGAGCCTCAACCTGCTCATGGAAAGATTGTGTTTAGGAATCCCAGTGAATGCATGCGAGTATCAGCACAGTAGGAGGAAGTGCAACATTGGTGTGTACGGTGGTTCCCAAGTGTTTCTGGAGCAGCTTCCTGAAGAGTGTGTGTGTGGGGCCATTTCTAAAACAGAACAGGAGGTGCAGTGTCGATGTGTGCTAGGGCAGCTGGGACAGCAGGCAAGAGACTTTGGGAGTTGGGTGAGCAGGGCTGGGTGAATGCAGCGGAGAATATATAAGGGATAAGCAAGGGAAGTATCTTTACATATCAGTGGTGTGTGATTGAGAGCCCTTAGGTCTATATTGGTGAGAATGGGAGGGCACTCAGTTCTGAGGTGGGACACACCTCACTTCCCAGAGGGTGCAGCTCCTAAGAGTTTTGCTTGCTCTCAGGACCCTCTAAGGTATGCATTGGTATCACCCATTGTGTGCTCTTACCAACTGCTTACTCCTCTTCAGTTCTCTTGGCTTTCAGGGAATCCCCTTTTGATACCTGGTTTCTGGAGAGTAAAGTCCTCAGGTCAAGAATGAAACTTGAGAGCTAGGTGTCAGATATGTCCTAGTACTTGAGAGTCTGAGGCCCAGGCTGGCTTCAAACTTGTGGTGATCCTCTTGCCTCAGCCTCTCAAGTGCTGGGATGTACCGTGACATCTGGTTCTAGTTTCATTAAAAAAAAAAACAAACCCAAACATGAAAAATGCTCCATGCTGAGCCAGTTGCTTAAACTTATCAACTTCACAAATAGACACAACAACATCCTAGAGTGGTCCTGCATGTCCTCTACACTCTTAATGGATATACAGCTGCTGAGTCACTTGCTTCAGCTTCTAAACTTCTCAAGTTGACACAGAAACAGAGAGAGAGAGAGAGAGAGAGAGAGAGAGAGAGAGAGAGATAGTGTGTGTGTGTCCGTGTCTGTGTTCAGGCGCGTATGTATGTGCGTGTGTGTTAGATACAAGTTAAATGGACATTTTTCTCTCTTCATTGTTGATGGACCTTGCAGGGTGGGATATGATCGGCAAGGTGCACTCCTTTGGGTGTGTACCAAGAAGAGGGATTTCTGGGTTCCAGCACCCTTTTAGCAAACACCAATGATCAGCAGTTGGGTCACAGCAGGTACTAAATAATGTGGACGTCATTCCAGTCACAGGTGGTGTGCACACCCTTCCTCAGTTAGGGCTCCTTGATGGAGAAGTAGCAGTGTGGCTGCAGAGTACTCAGGGTACAGCCAGCACCTGTGAAGGGCCAGCTGCCTTACCAAGTGCTCGTTCTGTTGGAGACGGTGACCTGTATGCTGAGACTATACATAGATGTGTTGTCTACCTAGCCTACAGGAATGATTTTTGGACTGTTCTTTGGCATATTGTTTTGTCCATGTTCCCTAGGGCTTGGGTGGGGGCATATGAGGAAGTGAGGTGAGAGCGGCATCCTGTGAGTTCCAGGTGTATTAATCTGCATTGGGCCAGGGAGCCCCCCATCTCTCCCGCAACTCTGCCAGGAAGGGCCATCCAGAAACTTGACTGGGGAAGAGAGCTTCCTGGGTCATCTTGCCTCTGGGTCTGTGATATGTCACTACTGTGTTAAGAAGAAAAGAGTCTGGATTCAGGCACCAGCGACTCTGATCCTCCGATTGACCCATCTGGCCAAGTGACCTGCTCTCAGCCTTTTACAAGCTCAGCTGGGTTAGCAGTGTTTTGTTTTGATGTGTTTTCTTCTGGTGTTAAAATCATAGTTCCTGACCATTTCCAACCTAAAAGCCTTACCCAGTATATTTATGCTGGACTTCCGTGATCCATAGGTCACAGTGGCAGGTAGTTGGATGCTGGGTTCAGCTGGGCTGTTCTCTAGGACTCAGGCCATCAGGCCATTCCCCAGCTCCCTGGCCCCAACCTCCCTGTCTTCTCCACTCTTTGCCCCTTTTCTGGTCCCCTAACCAAATACGATCTTGGGCTGCCTGTGCCTCATTTATTGGCAGTACATAGAGACGAACATGGAAGACCTTTTCCCTGTGTTTGCAGGGGCCTCTTTTCATTGCTTGCAAACTCAGGAGCTTTCCCACACTTCAGGCTTCCTGCCTACCCTTTAGACCTTGGCCTTCACTGGCCCTCATGGGAAACTGTCACTAGAGCAGCTTCCTGACTTGAAAAATTAAGGTTCCTTGCCAGATGCTATGCATTTCCATTTAGACTCCTTACCACAGTAAATCCTAGCCGCACTGTAGGACACGTGTGAGAATTGTAAGTTAAGGATTCTGCTCTACAACATTTGTAGGAGTGGAGGATAATCTGGATAATGCATGTTTTACTACAGCCATGCTTTAAATGCTCATTCGCGTCCTTTGCTTCTTTATCTCCCCCTTCCCCCCACACTGAGGATTGCTATGCATGCTAGCACCACCCACCTGCTGTACCACTGTGTGACATCCTTTATGAAGTCCTCTTTCATTTTTTGAGACAGATTTACTTTGTAGTTCAGGCTGGCTTTGAAGTCACAGAGATCCTCCTGCCTTAGTGTCCCCAGTGTACACCTACATACGGCTTCCCCAGGACAAGGCCGCCACTGGCCCTTTAATTTTGAGGAAGGCTGTGCTAATTTACTGAGGCTGGCCGCAATGGTGATTACAGGCGTGGGCCAGTTGGCAGTCCTTTATCCTTGTGCACAGCTTCTCCAGCAGCCTGCCTTCCTTCCCCAGTTGTTCTCCTGGTTCTGGCGCTTTGCAGTTCAGCCAGGCATGGAGAGTTATTGGACAGTCGTGACCCTTTTAGATTCATACCTTCTAAGCCAGGAATTGTGCCACATGCCTGCAGTTCTAGCATTTGGGAGGCTGAGGCAGGAGGATTGTTGTGAATTCCAGGGTGGCTTGGGCTACATAGTTCTAGGCAAGCCTGAACTACAGATAAGGAAAACCTTCTTCAAACTAAGCAAATATAGGCAGGCAGGCAGGCAGCTTTTCTCTCCAGAAGGCCTGGTAATTGAGAATGGGTTTGGAGTCCTCCGGATTGTGTGGGGTTCACTTGCTGTGTGATGACATCAACCATTGATCACTTGTGCATTTATCATATAAGTCGGATTTGTGATCTTTAGAGACCTCGCTACCTAACAAGTCTCTAGATGTTTGGCTTCCACTTGTCTCTCTGGGCTGGGTAAAATTGAATGGATCTTTGTGAAACAGGATGACAGCTGTGAGGGCTTTGCAGTAGGTTGGGCAGACAGGTAAAGACCATGTGATGGAAGAGCTGCTAGCAGGGGTGGTCTGTCTTCTTGTTCGGGATGCTTTAGCTGGGCCCAGGGGTACACTTCTGTGATCCTGGCTACCTGGCAGTCTACGAGTGGAGAGTCCCAAGTTTGAGGACGGCCTGGGCTTTTTAGCAAGATCCTTTCTGAAAATAAAAGGCAGAAGATGAAGCTTAGTCTTTTGTGAGGCCGTGGATTGAGTGGCTTCTACTGCGAAATACATTATTCCAGCATGATGGATGGTGAGGTCCTGCTCTGATTGTGAACTGCTGGAAAGAAAATCATTTGCTATAAAAACTTACTTTTCTGTTCTTAGGACTTCTAATGAGGTGTGCATAAACTGGAGCTGTCTATTAGGAACGCCCGTGTGATATCAGCTTGCGTGGGAGAACCTGGTGCTGGAGCCTGAGTGCTTTGTTTGCCTCCTCAGTTCTCACCAAGCCTGACAGTCTGTACCCTGGGGAGAGCTTGGATCTGAGTGCACTGAGTTTTTTCTCAGTGATGGTAAGTTAGGGCCAGGGGCCTGGAACCCACAGCCAGGGCTAAGGGGTTTTGTGTTTATGCAGATGAAGCTCTCAACCTTTCTTGTCACCTCTCTTTGTTTTAGATCCTATTGGTGTTGTCCAGGAACTCTAGGAGCAGAAAATGGAGACTGAGGCCACCAGAGGAAGTGTAATTGGAGCTGTGGCTGTCCCTGCAGGCTGCTCAGAGCATTGGGGACTGCTCTTCACCCTGGGAAGAATTTGGATCCACACTGGCCCTAACCTGTTCCTCCAGCCCAGCCTGCCCACCCCCTGACAGCACAGTTAGCTCATCAGTGGGCGGATTCACGGAGGAGCACAAGGCCTCCTGACACAGTCGCCTTCCAGATGCATGTGAACTTAGGAGAACATTTTAGGTCTAAATGATCGCAGAGTATGTGCCTTTCTGAAGAAAAGGTATTTTAGTGTTTTTGTGTTCCAAGTTAAAAAACTGTCACTACCAAAGAATTAGGATTATAGACTTTGATTTGTAAAATAATACAATTAAGTACAGTAGGTTTAAAGGTTACTTGTATTTGGATAATACTAGGCATTTTAAAATAAAACTCCCTCAAAGTGGAGTTCATTGGGGGAATTAGAAACTATTGCCACGTAAATAAAATTGTGTGTTTTAGAATGGTACTGTGTATCTGAAATAATTTTTGGAGATTTATTAGTTTTACATGCTCACATAAAAATTAAAACTTGAGGGGCTGGGGACTTAGCACAGTGGCATAAGCGCCTGCCTTGCAAGCAGGCAGTCATAAGTTCAATCCCTGGTATCGATAAAAATGAGAAAGACAAAAAAAAAATCATGTCGAAATGATAAGTGAAGATAGTGAGAAATTATTAGTGAAGATAGTGCTTCAAGAGACTAGAAGAAATGGAAGGGCTTTTGTAAAGTGATGTGGACAAACTGGTAAAACACAATACAATTTTAGGAGTGAAGGAGAACAGGATGGGTAGGGCTGAAATAAAAACTAATAATACGGATTACTTGTTGCTTTTAAAACTGAACGTCTGTAGGGCAAACAGTAAAAATTTAAATTGCTGCAAAGAGCAAACGAAAAACTGTTAAAACCCAGGGATAACACACCTGTTATCCCAGCACTTGGGAGGCAGGAGGATCACCATGAATCTAAGACCAGCCTGAACCACACCATGAGACTCAAAAAATAAAAGCCACCCAGGGGCCAGGTTCAGCAGTCAGATTTGTGCACTTACTGTAACAAAGAAACTTAAAGCTGTGACTAGCAGAAGAAACGAGATTCATCCTGAAACAGGAATAATCACCAAACCTTTACCCTATACTGTTAGGGCCAGTTGCCTACAATCCATTGGCAAGAAGGAAAAGGCGCCAGGTCTTGGCATCAGACTGCTGTCTGTTTTTTGAGTCTGGTTGTGTTGAGGTGCTGTGTGTGAGTCAGACCTTTCAGGTTTTCCCACCTTGGCTTCAGGTTGTAGGCACATGTGCTTCTCTTATGGCTGTAAGGTGGAAGTATACCAGTATGCCAAGGGGATCTGTGTAGGTTGGTTGGGGTGGAATTGAGCTAAAGCCTCTGGAGGATGCTTACCAAGGATGTGGCTGTCACCGTGGAGGAAGGACAATATACAAAGAACACTATTCCACTGGTCCCTGGATTTGCATCAGCATGCTGTGCTGCCACTGGAAGATAAGGGCTTGAAACCTAGCAAAAGGGTCCCCCTGGACTAGTGTATGAGTATAGTTGTTTCACAAATGACTCAGGAGTGTGTACCTTCTGTCAGCTTTGTGGTTTTTAATCCTAAATTTGATGGGAGGGCTCTCATTAGTTTTGAGGCCAGTGCAGGATAATCAAAGTTGAAAATCTGGTGAACACATGCAGGCCCCATTCTGAGCCTGCCCGCCCCAGGGTGGTTCCATCTCATTGTTGCATACCCAGGAAGTGGCCAAAGAAGGCTTCAGCACATGTCTGACTTAATCATGTCACTGGGCGACATGTACAAGTAAGTTCCCTAAGTGTCTTGTGGAGCAGGTGACATGGAAACTAATGAATGCTCATGGGTTTATCCTTTATGGAAGTTTATTCTAGTTGATTGGTGCAGTCAGGTTGAGCTCCCTCGGTTAGACTGATAGCTGTAAAGAGAAGGTGTGGGAATACAGAAAGGAGCAAGTTTGGGAGTGTCCCGTGTCCATGGCTTCAAATGTGACAGGTTCATTGGTGGCCACTGTCCATGGGGCAGAAAGCTGGAGGAAGAGGCTGCAGCCTGGGGTTCTCTTCCGCTCCTGTCTCCTCCATCCTTCACCTAATTGATATCAGCTCCTATGAGCAGGAAGTTCTAGAGAGAAGACAAAAGAGCTAATCAAGAAAAGTCATTTGCTGAGCCACCCAGGTGTCCGGGTTCCCACAGGAATCAAAAGTCTCAGCCTAAGTCTGGGGGCTTCACAGTAAACTGTTCTCAGCTTCCTATCTCCAGGAATTTATACTTCCCAAAGCACTGCTCCCTAGAAGACATCCATGAAAGTCACTTTCCTCCAAAAGTTACTCCATCAAAAAAAAAAAACAAAAGTTACTCCGTCAGGAGAGAAAGGCAAACCTGGGTGCTGTCTCAGCTGCTCAGTTTAGCAGAAGGCAGCTCTGAGCCTCCTTGCAAGGAAACAGCTGTGAACAGTGAAGATACTGGCAAAGGGCCTTTGTGGATATAAATCAAAAACTTGTTTTTTGCCTGTGCTCCCCATGGAAGGTATGGCACAGTTTTCTCCAAAGCTGTCCCTTGCTGTGAGTGGGAGGGCTGGCCAGGGACTCGGGGCAGCTGTCACATCACTACTGTGACTGTAGGCTTGTTTAGGATGCCCCTCAACCCCAATGGCATGTGATCCGACCTGCACTTATGCTTCTTTTTTTTTTTTTTTTTTTTTTTTTTGTCTTTTTTTATCGGTACCAGGGATTGAACTCACGACCGCCTGCTTGCAAGGCAGGTGCTTATGCCGCTGAGCTAAATCCATTCTGCCATCCAGGGATGCATTACCTCGTGCTGTGTGGGTGCTCAGTAAATGTGTACCCATAGGATCATCAGGAACTGAGCGAGTCTATGTGTGGCTGAGACGCCAGATCATCAATACCTGCCATTTTCACTGCAAAATTTATGTTTTTTCCTGGTTCCCCCTCGTCCCCCAGCCCTTGAGGCAGCCTCCCAACACATCTCAGCACTGCAACCCCATTCACTCACTTTGTGAATTTGGAGTTCCACGTTGTTGAGGTAGATCTGCCTGGGCAGAGGGAGTGGGAAGCCCTCCTCGAGCTTTGCTGGAGGAGAGAGCAGAGGTGAGCTGGACACAGAAGTCCAGGAGGAGACAGGAAGCAGGCCATGACCTTTGCAGCCCCTATGGATTATGGATTCAGGGCTGGTTTGGGCTGGGATATTGAGACCAAGGACTGGGAAATTCAGCCTTATCAGGACTGATGAGAGGAACCCCTTGGGCCCCCGAGGGCCCATTTAAGAGCCCTCATCCTCCACCCAAAGTAGCTGAGGAAGAGGTGTGGCGTGTGAACCCAGTGACTTCTTCGATCTCTCCAGCTGTCTTACTCTGTTGTCAGACCAAGTTACCTCCTCTTATCTCTTAGTTTAAAACTCAGATGCTGAAGCCCAGTGAAGAGGGTCCTAGGTAGTTGAGGGGGACTACAGATTCTCAGGCAGCCTCTGTTCAGGTCACCCAACAGTGTCACCTCACCAGGTCCAGTGCCAGGACTGCAAACTCCTGGAATGTTTCTCTCCCTCTACCCAATTCTTTACCTTAGCTCTCATGCCCTGGAAGCCTTGCCTGACCTCCAAGGCCATTCTTGGTGCTTCCTCCTGGCTCCTATAGCTCCCCATTGTTCCTGCCATGGCACTCAATACACTGTGTACCACTGCCTGTTACCCGCCTGTCTTCTCAAATGGGCAAGAGGTCTTGTTGAATGGATGAGTGTGTGAGTGAATGAATGAAGCATGAAGTCCTATGGAAAGGGAAGAGCTCAGTCTTTGTGCTATGGAGCCATCAGCAAGAGCTCTACTTACCATTGAGGGCCGGGTATATAATATTGAACGCATAGTAGTTGAGGATGGTTTCCATTAGCTCCACCTAGAACACAGGAAGTGCCAGAACAGAGATCAAGTAACACATGAATAAAAATGTCTGGTTCCACCTCTGGAGATCCTGTCTTGTCATTCCACCTCAAGCACAGGCGTTGACCCTTGACCACCATTATGAACAAGCGGCCCCTTCCTCAAACCCTCTCATCTGTAAGCTCATTCTCCATAAGTGCAATAGGACTGGTGTTATCCTGAGGCTATTTAGTGGTCTAATTTATGAACATGTAAAAGTTTATTGAAGAAACATGAGTGTCTTTGATTACACACTGATTCTCCAGAACTTCCTGGAAGTCTTACATAATATACGGAGCAAGAACCTTATTATGTCTCAGAAGTTATCAATTCCTAAAGCCACTGGAACCCATGATTCAGTGAGAAGATGGGGCCTCAATCCCTAAGTCGTATAAAGGCAACCCCGTGCTATTCTTTTTCCAATAGTGAATGTAGTTGAGAGATTTTCATGTGTGAGACATTTTATCACAGTGTCTTACTGAACTCATCGGCTTGCTTCATACTGTAGCTCCCATTTGGGTAGATGCTCTTATTATTCCCATTTAGAGTAAGAGAACCAGGCATGGAAAGGTCACATAATTTGCCCATGGTCACACAGTCAGCAGCAGGCAGAGATGGTTTCTTATTCCAAATCTCATGGCCTTAGAGTCTCTGTCCTATTGTCTTTTTAGGTGTCAAGCTCTTCATGCCTGCTGAACTTTCAGATATGGCTGCCCCATTTCCTGGGAGCCTGTAGACATCTTTAGGCCTTTTACCTGACACTCCATGACACCCGATTGGGGAAAAACATTCAAGAGATGCAGAGAGAAATGACTCACATTGATGTCGCTGACACTGGACTGTTTCAGTTGAAGCTTCAGCTCACTGTGTGGGGAGATAAAAGTGTTTGGGTCACCAGGTCAGGGCTAGAAGTTTCTTGCTGTCACCCCAGTGGAATTTGCACTGTGCTTGGAGGCAAAGTCATTTTGTTTGAGACTGGGTACCTGGCAGTTGCTCTACAGTGTATCACTGTGGGCTCAGGGCCTGGCACACACACTGATTTGAGAGCAAAGTGCTATGCTTAAGACTAAGGTTTAACTCATAACTTGAAGAACTCATAACTTGAAGAAATTATAATGATATAAAAAGTAAGTGAAAACGGTAGAATACAAAAATGTATGCACTATGTATTTCCAGTTACATGGGAAATGTATGCTTTGTGTTTTGTTTTGTTTTTTGTCTTTTTGACAGGGCTTCACTATGTAGTTCAGGCCAGTCTTGAACTCATTTCATAGCCCAGGCTAGCCTCAAGCTCACAGTGATCCTCCTGCCCCAGCCTCCCTAGAGCTGGGATTACAGGTATGTGCTAGTAAGGCAATCTAGAAATTGTGTTTTTTAAAAACTGGAAGGAAACAAAACTAGTAAGAGACACAGACTCTGTGTGGCAAAGTTATGGGTGATTTTGTTTTTTATGTACCTTTTTAATCTCTAATATTTTCTTGCAATTAATACTTATTATTGGTCTGATGTTGGACTACACAATGAGCCTGTGTTGTTTGTGTAATGTGGAGGTGTGTAGCGGCATGAGTTATCTTTATCACATGGAAGCCGACAATGTGAAGGAGAAAGAGAAGCACTGCAAATGGTGGCAGTATGCAGATGACACCCACTAGAGTGGGTGGCTCAGGATACGTGGGTCCCTGTGGCTGTGGAAACCAAACCCCAACTTCTTCCATTGATGCCCTTCCTGATAGGCTTTCTTTTTGGCTGCTGTGCTGGTTCCTCTGATGAGGAATTCTTATCTAGATACCTCTGAAGGAGATGTTCATTTTAATATCTCAGTGCAATTTATCAGCCTATAAACATTTAACCTAACGCCAGGAAGTAAACCAAGCATAGTGGTTTACAGTTGTAATCCTAGCACTCTGGGAAACTGAGGCAGGAGAATAACAAGTTTGATCCCAGCCTAGACATTGGTGACTTAGTGTGAGACCTTGTCTTGAAATAAAATATAAAACAAAAAAAAATAGCTAGGGGTAATAGCTTAGTGAGAAGTCCTGGGTTCAGTGCCCAGTTTTAAAATAAAATCCAGGAAGTAGCTCATCTGGTGTATGTCAACACAGAGCTGCACACACAGTAAGTGAGATTCAGGTATTAGTACAGAGGACAAGTTCCAACCCCAGGAAGCAGTACAGTCCCTGCTGACCAAAGCCTGAACTCTTTCCCCACTGATTCACCAGTGTAACACATGTTTACTGACTGGGAATCTGGGTAGGGGAGCTACAGGCAGTGGCTTGGGGCACTTTAACCCTCCATCAAAAATCTTTCCTGCTCTGTGATATGATTTCTTTCAGTGAAGTGAAAAGTCCTTGTGACACAGCTTCCCACCCTGAACTAGACTGTCCTGAGTAAGTTTTTGCCTTTGCAGAGAGTCATCTTCTCCACAGAAGCCTGAGAGGGACAAGGGAAGAGCTTAGAGATACTGGGTACCCGAGGACAGCCTCTGCAATATGGCAACTCTTCTGTAGTTACTTCTGGCTGTCTCCCTGAGGCACTGTTACTGTGCCTTTTCCCCAAAGGAACTGGATTGGAAAGTGTCCCACCTCTGGTGGAGATCTGTCTCTGGGGGTCACCTCTGATCCCATCAGTCAACCTGGCCACTATCAGGATGTCACCCTGTGCCTTCATTCCCCTCCTACTCCCTGGTCTCTTACCTTCCTGTGGTTACTGAGCCAACAATCCTGCTGGAGTTCACACTGACGTTGATGGAAACACTGGTATTCTAGAAAAGCAAAAGCTTGCTTAGCTATCATGTTAGCTCCTGGAGACAAGTCCTGGAGACAAGTCCTCAGAAATAGAAATTCTGGGCATGAGGCCCTATGGGACACATGGGCAGAAAGCAGCTCCCAAGGCTTGTGGCTGGAGGGTGCAGGCAGAGGGTAGCTCCGAAGGGGACACTCAGAAAGGGAAGCCAAGTTTCCCAGGTCTCCATCTCAGTGAAAGTATTGAGAATGGGGAATAAGCCTGAGCTGAAAGCACAGAGCATTTGAACAGGGGTACTTCCAGTTTGTAACCATGACAGAGCTCTTTGGAGCAGACCACCAAGGAACACTGACAAAGCCTTGAGCCCTGGAGAAACATAGGGACAGCACCAACTGACATCTGATTTAGAGAGAAGGACTTTCCTGCTGAGGGGTTGCATTTGACAGGTGACTGAATCTGGAGGGCCCTGTCCTGTTCAAATGGTCCATTGAGTCACTTCCTGTTACCAGGAGGTGAGCTCTTTTCTGTGGCACCTGGGTGAGGGCTTGAAGTCTTAAAGACTTGTAACAGGAAAAAAGGTACAATATCGTATGCCAGCCAAATGGGTAAGTCTGGCTTCTGCTCAGATGTATACAACAGTTTCCAGGAAGTATTAAAGATGGACATGAAAGGTGCTGCAACTGAGCCTCTTATGTTTTAACTAAGACTCATTAGCTTTATAGCCAGAGCTCACAGCTGGACTACATTTCCCATCCTCCCTTGCAGTTTCATGTGGCCATGGGACTGAGTTTTAGCCAATGGATCCTTTGAAGCTACTTGTGAATTTTAAGATCAACTTGTCAGCTGGATTCTAAGGAAAGTAGCTGGAATTTTTAAAATAAAAATTGTGAGAGCTTGTAAATCAGTTTAGAGTATTGCTAAATACTTATATCGTCTTTTACAAGGTAATTTTATACTTTTTATTCATAGAAACTTCAATAGAGTGATGTTTGAGATTTTAAAAAATGTATAGTGAACTAGCTAGACTTGGGGGTTCATATCTGTGATCTCAACCCTCAGGAGGCTGAGGCAGGAGAAATACAAATTTAAGACCACACCGTGTACTACAAAGTGAAACCATGTTTTAAAAAATTATAGTAAATGACTGTGGGAAAGTTAAAATTAGCAGCTTAGCTAGAGCAAATGATTCAAGATTTCCTGCATCTATGACAGTCTATGATCCGATGAAGTGTGCCTTCAGGAAGCCTGGCAGCGTGGCTCAGGAGGGCGGTACTCACGGCAGAGTTTTAGCATCTGCCGGTCCTGTGGCTATCACTCTGCTGAGGGAGGGGCTTGCACCATGACTCCCTGGTGCCTCAGTCAGTAGCAGACTTACCGCCCTGAGCTGGAAGAGTGGCCTGTGGTCAGAGGAGTTGGGTAGGAGGACGAAAGCTTGGATATTTATCACTGGTGAGAGGGTCACATTCCCAGGAGTGAAAGTCAAGAGCGGTTCAGACTCAGGCGATGCCTCAAGTTCCACCTCCATGTTGGGGTATGTCCTGGCCAGCTGGAGAGAGAGCAGACACTCAGAGGACAGCAGGGGACACATGGAGATCCAGAGGGAAGATCAGATGTTGGGTCCCAAGGAGCAAACTCTAAAGGTCCCATCCAGTTCTTCACGTGACTTGTGTTTTCCAGAGCTTCTTTCCCTGAGATGGCTGTTATTGGAAGGGACACTGCAATAAAGTGTCTAGCGTAAGGGAGAAACCTCAAGGAACTGTTTGAGCAACAGAAGATAGTTACTGTGCTGCCTTCCAATGCCAGCCTACTTTGTCAGGTGGACAAGTTGGGGATTGGGGCCACCCTGATCTTTTCTACTCTGCCTGTATCACTTTTCAGGGGGGCTTCCAACTAAATATCAAATAAATGTTGATGACTATAGGTTTAGCCCCAAATTATTAGTCATCCAAGGTTGGAAAATTTGCACTGGTTGAATTTATTTTGGTATGTATGTATGTATATAATTTATTGCAGTACTGGGAACTGAACCCAGGAATGTTCTACCACTGAGCTATAATCTCAGTCTTTGTTCTTCCTCCTCTTCTTCTTTTTTTTTCCTCCTCCTCCTCTTCCTCTTTCTCCTCCTCAATCTCCTCCTTCTTCTTCTTGTCTTTTTGAGACAGGGTCTCGCTCTGCCATTCAGGCTGGCCTTGAGCTCACTTTGTAGCCCAGGCTGGTCTCGAACTCACAACAATCCTCTTGTGTCAGTCTTCTGAGTGCTGGGTGTGCACCACTGTGCCCAGCTGTCCCCCAGCTTTTCTTTCTCTTGTCTTTTTTTGGTTCTCTAATTTCCCAGAATGAACTTCAATTTGTAATCCTCCTGTCTCAACCTTCGAAGTGGCTGGGTTTACAGATGCACACAACCACACCTGGCTTGGTTAAATGCTTTTATCTCTCATGTAAGCAACCCAGAGGAGTGGAGGCTATGGTCATCCTCATTTGAGAAATGGGGAAACTGGCCCAGGCAGTTTGAATTCCAAAGCTAGAAAATAGCAGGCCTAGGATTTAAATCCAGGCAATCTACATTCAGATCTTGCATCTTTGTGCCATCAGGAGCCAGAGGAAGATAGGAATGTTATACAACAAATTAGTTTAATAGATTATATATTCCCCACTGCTCTAATAAGTGAGCTGTTTCTCTCTGGGGTCCAAACACATTTCCTGGATCTGATCTGGGTTGAGGGGCTTGTCTTGCCCTCTGGGATGAATGGGCAGAGGTCCTACCTGAGGGACCAGCATCTGGAAAGAGCTGGTGTGCAGAAGGGTTGAGAAGTTTAGGGGCATCTGCTGTAGGAGAGGCAGGAAGTTATTGGAGAAGCAGGACGCCATGGTGGTTAGAGTTGTAGACTTGAACAGCTGACATCCTGGCCTTAGATTCTGCTCCCGCCACTTTTTAGCTGATTCACTGGCAGCCAGCTTTATCAGATTCCTCAGCTATAAAAGAGGAACAGTGGTAGGAATTATAGGTTTACAGGTTAAATGAGACACTATATGAGTAAAGTGTCCAGGGCTGTGCTCGGCTGTGCTCAATAAATACCTGGTGGTGTTATTTACTTTTTCTCAGGATGATCCCCAAAAGATCATCCATAACAATTTGACACTTATTATACTACTCACTACGAGTTTGTCTGGACTCCTTTTCTAGCCATTTTACACAGAGCCTCTTCTCTCCCTAGCCCTGCAATTTGCTGATCTTTGCGCTCAGGGGACCCTGTTCAACCCTGTCCTCAGCCTGTGCTCCGTTTCCTCCTTCTTCACAAGTCCTGGGCTGTAACTGTAGCACTTCTCACAGGGGCTGGCCAAAGGAGTGGCTGCTCAGAACTCCTTCAAATTGCACAGGTAGTGGGGTCACTGCCTAAAGCCCCACCCTGTGGGAAGCCCTGTAATTGGCTGCCACCTTATATCTGCAGGCTGCACCACCTTAATTCCCTCTAGGAGTTAAGTTTGGTAGTTAAGCAGCACCTTGCCTACCTAGCTTCTTTGGCTCATTTAGGAATTATGCTAATCAGCCCGCCTTATGAGCCCCCCCATGGGAAATTTGAATTGACCTACGACCCTCAGTCTTGCCACTGTTGCTAAGTTAACTGCTTTTGTCTCAGGACCCAAAACCCTCCTCCCCAATACCCTATATATTTGATACTCATTCCTTGAATAAACGAGACTTGAACGGAAGGACTTCGTCTTGTCCCTGCTCTTTGTGTCTCTTGTTCCTTTTCATCCCCACTCCACCTCTAGGGTCTCCATCGACTTACCCACAGGCCAGGACACCACCCCTTCCTGTGCAGACCCCTATGCTGGCCATGCTGAGGTTGCATGACCCCCAGATGGCTCCCAGCTTCTAAGGGGCACAGCAGGAGACAAAGCCAAGAGCTTTAGGTGCCCAGGTGTCCAGTTGGTCTGCTACTCACAGTACTGGGCTAGAATAAGAGGAGGTGAATCTGGAAAGGCCATTGCTCCCCTGTGCTTTGCCCTCCTCAGGCAGTAACACTGGCTGCATGCATTACATAAATCAGCCAGCTAGGGGCTGTTAGCATTTTTTGGGCGCAATGGAGTGGCCTTTATTCTAAGGATGTGGAGAGGAGCCGGCCGGTAACTGGGAGCAGTCTGAGTTCTTCCTCTGACTGGATTATGAAGTATGGGAGTATATGGAACTTTTGACTGGGGGTGGTGCTTAGGGTGGGCATTGATGACTTGAGAGGAGCGGATTGGAATTTTCTTTGTGCCCACTGGGAAAGGAAAAAGGAAGTCATAGGGGAAGGAGGAAGTGATCTCAATGAAAACATCCCTAATTTGACCTTCGACTTCCATATTTTGCTATAGTTTATTCTAGAGCAAAACTTTTACAGGGGCACCAGCTTATTACCAAGGGAGCCTCTAAAGATCCCTGAAGGGGTCATTTTTAATGGTCCTGGGACACAGAGGGAGTGAAAGAGAAGGGGAAGGGCTAGCAGGAAAAATACTGAGTAGTGAATGGAAACTATTAGGATCCACCTGTATAGATAGGGGAGCTGAAGTGCAGTTTGATTTCAGTTCACATTTGTTACGATACAAATTCCACATTCTGTCCTTCTCCCTGGGTACCCACTGAGAGCCTGTGGTCTCAACCTGAAGCCCTCTCCTGAAGCCTGGTCTCCTTCTCACCCAGCACTCACATGTTCATTTCGGATGATGACCTTCATGTACCCAGCCTTGTGATAAACCCAGCTGGCTGTGTTGAATGTGTATTCAGAGATTGCCAAGTAAATCATGTGGTCATGTCGTGGTGGCAGCATCATGGGTGGGGCTCCAAAAGGCGCTGGTGCAGGTTGGATTGGGTTGAAGAATTCACCCTGGAGACAGAGGACTGATCAGTTCTCCCTGCATACCTGCACCCTGCCTCGGTGTAGCCAGTGGGGGTGCCCAGCAGAGGTGCAAGCCTGCCCAGCAGAGGCCTCTTATGCTTTAGGTGGTGGCTGGGTGGTTCCTCTCTGGAATGCGAACCCAACAACACTAACGATCTAGATCCTGACAGCTGCCTCGAATCACCCCTTCAGAGCAGCAATCCTCTGGGCTGGAGGGGTCCTAGGACTCATAGCCCAGGATTTGGCAGGCACAGCCTGGAGTGAGGAGCTTGGACTTTGGGATTCCAGTGGCTGAATTAATCCCAAGGTTTATTAGCTCTGGTACCTTGGGCAAATCCCTAACTTCCTTGGGCCTCAACTTCCTCATCTGTGAATTGAGGATGGGGCTAATGATTTTTCTGACTCATAGAGATAATAGGAAATTTAAGTTTATTATGATCTATTATTATTTTTAGAAACTCTTGGAAGTGACACAGCAAGAAATATATGTTAATGATATAAATAAAATAAGCAAAATTGAAGGGGCAGCACCTTACAAGGGCTCGGCCCACAATCAGGGGGTATGGAATGAACAGGGGAATGGGGAGGGGGTTTTCCTATTGCTGCTGTAAGAATTACCACAATTTTAGTAGCTTACAACAGCACAAGTTTGTTTCCTTTCCTGTCTCCAGGCCCGTGCTTCTTCTGAAAGCTTTAAGGGAGACTCTGTCCCCCTGCTCTTGCCACCTCCATGTGGATTCCCTGGCTTACGGTCCCTCATCACGTCACCCCATGGTTCTTCTGTTGTTTTGCACATGTCTCCCTCTTCTAAGAACCTTTAGATTATACTGAGTGCAGCTGGAGGAGCCAGGATAACCTCACCATCAAAAGGTCTGTTATCACCTCTGCAAAGTCCTTTTTTGCCACATATGGTCATGCTCACAAGTTCTAAGAGTCAGGACATGGTGTCTTAGGAAGTCCATTCAGTCACCTTGAGGGTAGAGTAATAGTAACAAGCACGTCCTTATATATGCCCTCTGTGCTATGTCTAGCTAAGTGCTTTAGCAAATCATCTCTCCTAATTCCTGCTGGCCAATTTGTTTTTTCATTCATTTTTTAGGCAGGGTTTTCTATGTAATTCAGGTTGTCCCGGACTTACTACCTAGCCTAGCCTGACCTGAACTCACGGTGATCCTCCAGCCTCAGCCTTCTGATTGCTGAGATTACAGGTGTGCATCACCCTTCCTGGCTATTCCAGTTGAATAGAAGCTAAGAGAAGTTAAACAAGTGTTCCAGGTTCCCCAGCACACAAATGGTAGAGCTAGGAGTCAAGCTCAGGCTCTGGAGACTCCAGACAGATTTAGTATGTTGTTTCACAGACTCCTGACTTAGTCTTGGTGTGCAGTGGCTAATAGCACATCTGTCCCTTATGGGCTGGCAAAGGAAGGGGAGGAGCTGCCTCTGGGAAGTGGAACTGATTTCCTAGCAAGGTCCTTTCCCTATAACCCCTTACCTTGAAGGGAGTATCCAGGCCTTCAGAAGTCACCTGGGGTGCGCCTACCAATCTGTATTCCAGGCTTGCAGTCTCATCAATCATCACGGTGACTGTGAGATAGGAAAGAGACAGGTTAGGAACAGGATGGCTAAACACAGCTGAGCAAGTTGTGTATTGCACATCTCTGGGGAACGTCATTCACAGAAACTGTAATCTTTCTAAAAGGGAAATGGGGCTGGTGCTGATCCATCCACTTTAACCAGAGAGACACATTGCCTCACTCATCATTTTACTGAGAACCTCCTATATGCCAGGCATAATGCAGGTGGCTGAAGAAACCGTTGGGTAAGATAGTCAGTCCCTGCCTTCTGGAGTCCAGAGGTTAACAGATAAATACTTGAGCAAATAAATGTACAAGTACAGCTCTGCCAAGTGGAAGAAGTTCGTGTGGTGATGTCGTTCATGTAGTATCAGCCACAGTGGGCAGTGTCAAAGGGTTCAACAGGGAGTCAAAGAAAGCTTCCTGGGGAGGTTTTGCCTGGCTGGAGTCAGCAGGGCATAGATGCTGACTGGGGAAGGGGTGAATACGGGCCTGGGCTCTCCTGGCAGAGGGAACCGCAGGAGCGAAGATCACATGGCAGGATGTAACATGGAGTATTAGAGGATCTGTGGGGTCCAGCAGGGCTGACTGGGTTTGGGGCTCTCTGTTTCATTAAGGCAGATGGAACCCAGGCAGCACATGCTTCTCCCAGGGCCTTGAGATCCTCTCCCTACCTTGTTCTCCTAGTACATGTCTCCCCTGGAGCATCCCATTGCCAAAAACAGACTCCTCAAAAGATGCCCTGTTTCAATTCTGTAGGATGGGAGAGTTTTCCTAGGGCTCCCCAGGAGCAATGCTTTCAGGATAACCCAGGGTCAGGGAGTCTGCTGGCACCTATGGAAATTGAGGGTGTGCTCAAACCTGGTAGAGTTCTGAGATAGGGCTCCAGGTAAGAAGTGGTGGACTGCCTGATCATCTCACAGATCTGCCAGAGGGAGAGAGAAAGCTGGTGAGTCCTTCTTTCTCCACTCTCCCCAGCAATGCCCTGGTGTCCCCAGATCCACCTCCAGGAGGTACCTTGGCAGCCCAGCTGTGGAGGTACCTGAGTGTGTGCCGGGAAGGGTCAGGCAACATGGAGAAAAGAAAGAAGAGGTCACTGTGCTCCGAAATACATAGCACTTGGCCACTTCAGCACCCACGTTAAGTTTGCCACTCATTCCTGAATCCCTTTGGCTCTTCTTCTTGCTCAGATCCTGAAATCTCAACAGTGCTGACCAAGTCGTGAGATGGCCCACCGCAAAGCCAGAAAAGGGCTCAGCCTCGGAATCACAGTGGCCATTGGCCACTAACTTGTTTCTGGGAAAGTAATGGAGTTCTAAACAGTCCACATCCTTCTGTGTCTGTCTGTCTTTCTGTCTCTCTCTATTTCTGTCTGTTTCTGTCTGTCTGTGTGTTTTATAATGGGAACTGAACTCAGGACCTTGCCCTTGCCAGGCAGGTGCTTGTGCTGCTGAGCCATGTCCCTGACCTAGTTGTGGAATTCTAGACGGGGGATGTCAGAAGACCCTAACTTGGCCATTTCCCATCTTTAGCAATTCCTACACCATCCCATCATTTTGCCTTTCCCACCTTTCCCTCTGTTACTTATTCAATATTTACTTTATGCCAGCTGGCCTTTTCAAATGGACATACATTTAAGAAAAAATACAGAAACTTCATATCACTCTTTTGAGTGAAAAACTGGAAGCCCTTGGAATAAACAAGATACAACTGGGAAAATGAATAATGTACAAGGGATTGCAGGGAAAAAATTGTTCTGGAAGATTGGCTAGATGCTGCTGCCTAGTTAGCTAATCCCCTCTTTGCTAGAAAAAACAATTCAGGATACATTAGTCTCCTACTGAGTCTTCCTGTCTTTGATGTGAGAAGAGAAAGAAGACTTCAGAGGGAAGTGTTTATGCATCCTGTCATTTTGCATATTTTAATACCAAGGCTTCCAATCACTTAAAATCAACTCTCTGTGGGAAGCATCTTCATTTTGAGAGCACTGTTTTGGTGCAAAACTGTAAGGCAGCCAAAGCCTGGTGGACCTAGGTCAGCCTCCCTGGAGCACCACGCCAGGGCATCGCTGCCTTGGGAGTCGGTCCTCTCAGGACCTGGCTTTATCCATCTTCCCCACCTCCCCTGGCCAGAGGTCCTCTTTCTACAGAGCCACCTGGGACTCTGCACTCACAGCCCTATGGGAACTGAAGTCAGTGACCACATGTGAAATAGTGGCTCAGCCTCCCTGGCACTAGCCTCATTCCCCTGGAAATGTAGTATCCCGATTTTTCTGGCCCACGTTTCCTATGTATGAAAAGCAATCACCACAACACACAAGTAACTAGTGGGGAGCTTAGTTGAGTATTTACCCAAATGTTAGTCCTAGACATTAACTATAAGTGCATCACAGCTTTGGGTCCTCACAGCAAGGTAGATGTTATGATTATTCCTATTTATACACAGGCATCCTAAGAGTCAGGGAGGTTCAGTTCCCTAAGACTTCACAGCTATCAAAGTGGCAAATTGGGATTTAAAACCAGAGCATCTAACTGCTGAACTTGTGGCTCAACATTGAAGAGTCAAGAGGACGAGTCATAGTTCTGAAATGGTAGCAAAGCTGAGTACTCCATGAAAGAGTTTTGCCCTAGAATAAATTACAGCACATTATGGCGGTGGAATGTCAAATCTGGGATGTTTACCCTGAGGTCACTTCCACCTTCCAATCAGCCCCTCACGCTTCATCACGCCCACCCTAAGCACCACCCCTGGTCAAAGGTTATATATATCCCATACCCCATATTCTGATTAGAGATAGCCAGACCACTGTTGGTTGTGGAATCCTTTCCACATCCTTACAATAAAGGCTACTTTTACTTTTATATTTTGCTCCTTTATTGTGCCAGGATACTCTAACATTATGGTGCCTTGAGACTCGTATGGCAGAGTATGTTAGCTCCTGGGAGTCACTCCCAGTTTGAGCTACCTGGCCTATGAATCACCTTTTTATTTCCTCCGGGACTGTTTACTTGCCGCTGCTAATCCACATGCAATAGCGACCTGCTTCACTCATCACAGGTGAGCTGTTGTCTGGGGTTTTCTGTTTCCATTCCTAAAATCACAAGCTTGCATCAGAAAACTATCGCATGTTGCCCTTTCTGGACAGAGATAGCAGTTTTCACACTCATTAGGCCATACAGCCAGAGGCAAAACTGTTATTTTTTGTTCCCTGGGACCTTGCCCCATGCTCTTCAGTGATGGCCAGGATAAGAACGTGTGTTGGGACATTCATGTCACACTTTCAAAACAGGTGATAACCTTTTTTTGATAGGTGTGATCCAGGACAGCTTCCCTGTTCCTTGGGGGAGAGTTAAAGCTCTTACATCCTGAGGCAAAGTTGTTCTCTCAGCTCACTTATAATTCGGTCATGGGGACCATTTTCTGTCCCCCCGCAAAAAACACACTTCTTGGGTGCTTAGTTCATAATCTTGGTGTTCTTGGCCTCAAGAAGGGTATAAAGACCAAAAAAGCAGATATTTTATTTATACTTTTGTTCTAGTGGCGACAAGTTAGCAGAAACTCCTTATTTTTAGGCCTTTTTTCACTCTGAGGATTGTCTTTCTCTCATTCTTTCTTGTATAATGGCCCAAACACTTCTGGCTCACTCTGCTCCATCAGGAACTCTCCCTCCTTTCCCTCCGGACCTCTTAGATGACCTGTCTCCTGTCTTTACGGTTCCTCTCCTGTACCTACCAGACAAATCCCACAGCTTTCTCAGCCAGAGATTTCTGTGCCCCCTGTGCCATCCTCTCCCCATTCTTTACCCCCAGTGGCCTCTAATCCTTCCTTTACTTTCTCTCTCTAGTCTCAAAATTTTCAACCCCCTCAGTCCACTGTATATTCCATCAGATGGCTCTTGTTGTCCCCTACTCCTGTGTTGACATTTTCTTCACTGGCTCACCGTACTTGGTCTTGTGCCTTTCAGGAACCTAGCAGGCCACGTGGTTCTCAGCAACCATCTTGCTGCAGCTCACTTGGAGGACAGCTGCCATCTTGCATCCCTACGCCACATGACAATGCACTGCTATCTTGGGGTCCCTCATAATGGGACCAGCCGCAGCCATCTAGTTGTGAGTCTCATTGTAATCAGTCGCCATCTTGTGCTTCCCTGATGCATGGTAGTTGATCACCCAGTAATTGCCCACAGATACAGATGCCTGCCGGGCAGTTGGTTACTGAGTGGCCTTCTACACTTCCCACTCTACAGCCTACTCAGTCTCAGTCCCTATTCTCACTTGAGGAACAGGCTGGCCCCAAGGAACTAGTTCATATTAATGTTCCTTTTCCCTCTCTGACCTATCTCAAAGCAAACATAAATAAGGTTCCTTTTCTGCTATTCCTATTTTAAGAGATCTCTATTAATTAATCTACAAAATGTTCATACTAGTCTATTTATTATAGTTCAGATTGGCCAAATATATTTGAATACAGTCTGAGTTTGTAAGATGTTTGTTAGTCTATATATCTGTTATCTGTTTGTCCAGTCTGTTTGTGCTGTACAGATTGTCCATGTTTGCACATTTGTCTGCTCTATAAACAGCTGTTCCTTTTTATTTGAGCTCAATAATTTTTTCCTTTTGCATTTTTAGACCACTTAATCAAGATGTATTTGGGTTATAGATTTTAAAAATATGCTTTCACCTAGGTTGCCAGCTTGTCAAATTGATGCTAAAATTGGTTAAACAAAATCCCCTGGGGTGGGGAGACATTGGACAGGACTTCAACTTATGAATAAGACAGTGGCCACCTGGTAACTTTAACCAGCTCTTATTCATTAATTGGAGGCTCCAATAATCTCCATAGCTTATGGGAGACACCCCAGCTAAAGTTCATATGACTAAGACAATTCATTGTTGCTGATCTGATGGTATATTCATGCCTTCAAATATAAAATTGGGATTGTTTATGATGATAAATATTTTCTTTCAGATCAGACATCTGCCTTTTTCTTGTGCTCCAGCCAAGTGATTCAAATCAAGTCAACAGGAGGTTATCAGTCAAATGATAATTTTAAAACAAAAATTTATATAATGTCCATCAACAAAAGTACCTAAGAGCCAATGAGTTACAATTGCTATAACCTAAAAGCAGTTTCTAAACTTATCTGTCAGCCCTACTGCTCATGCTTTGATTATATATGCTTTACACTTTGTGTATGCATGCTTTGTTTAAAGTTTATTCTTGCCTAAAAGGTGTCAAACCCCAAGGCATCATAACAAATATACCAAATTCTTTTTAGATTCCTTTTACTGGGATCCACCAGATCTTTTCCAGAAAAAGGTTTTATGACGCATGTTGGGGTCATAATTAACTATACTCGACTGGCCTTAAATGACACCACAGCTCATCTCTCTCCTAAGTAAAAAGGTAAAATTAATAAAACAGGCCATTCTCCAAAAATCAGATGGCATTAGACATTCTTTTCTTTTGTACAGGGGACCAAACTCACAACTATGCACTTACAAGGCATGTGCTTATGCTGCTGAGCTAAATCCCTAGCCCTGACACTAGACATTCTAACAGCACAAGAGGTACTTATACAATTGTAAAACCTAAACAGGTATATGACAAATGAATGACATGTCAGTTTCTAAAATTCACTGGACCTTATCCTTATCCTCCTTATGGGAAGCCATTATTAAAATTATACTTATAAATACCCCGTTGATTCTATTATTTGACTCCTGCATACTTAATTGATTCTTTGCTTTTGTCTCCTTTAGACTTAAAGCTGTACATCTACCCAAGATAAAAATGCCTGCTATCTACTGAGGGCCACTAGTTAAAAGCTCTGTAGAGTATCCCTGACTGCTGTTCAACAACTTCACCTCTCTTCAGCCTGAAGAATTCAGATCTGTCATTGCCCATTCTCCTTCATGGCAGTTTGGGTTACTTCTTCAGAGAAAAAATGCTACAGACAGCTAAGTCAGTTAAAAATATTATAGGCAGTCAGACAGGGTTAGGGCCTCAAAATAGCCAGCACAGAGAACCAGATGTGTTGTGACTGTGGAGGGAACAGTGTGGGCCAGATCCCAAGACAAAAGGCTAAACTTGGCTCTCAAACCCCACAGGGAGACCTTCTTAATGTGACTTTTCATGTTTTCAACAACAGAGATAAAACTCAAAAGGAAAAATGACAATCTGATCTTTTAGCAGTGACACTGGGAGCTCTAAGACAGGTAAACTGAGACAAAGTGGAGCTGCCCAAGCACCTCCCAGACCATGCTTCAAGGGTGACAAAAAAAGATGCTGGGCAAGAGAATGCCCTTTCTGCAATCTCAAGGGCCATTGGAAGAGCGACTGTCCTAGCCACCAGAAAGCGGGTAAGCCATCCTCTAACTTCTTGCCCTCCCAGGAGATCTCATCACCACTGGATTCATCGCTGACTGATCTACTCGGACTTGCTGCTGAAGACTGATGGGGATCGGGGCCCACAGACCTCCATTAAGGTATCATTCTCAGAGCCCCAAGTCCCAGTGGAGGTCTCTGGTAAAACACTCTATCTACTTGTTGGCATAGAGGCCAAATATAATGTTCTTCCTGAGTTTTCAGGCCACTATATTAAGTCCTTGGGCTCTGTAGTGGGTGCTGATGGCCAACCTACATAGCCACTGCAGACAGGGCCTATTCCATGCAGGTTCTAGACTCTTCTTTACCCATAGCTTTCTAGTAATTCCAACATGTCCCACACCCCTTTTAGGCAGAGATCTTCTTCAAAAGTTTAACTTCTCCTTTACTTTCTCCCTCCCCATAGCTCTCATCTTCCAGACACCCTCACAGTGCACCACAAAGCCATCCCCTCCCCTCCCTTCTTCTCTGGTTGATCCTATAGTTTGGGATACCTCCAATCCCACCTGTGCTACCCATGCCATGCCTATTTGAATTCATCTCAGACATCCTTCAAAATTTCCTTGCATTCCCGCATATCCTATAGCTCCAAAACATTTAAGGGAACTTAAACCTATAATCAAACATCTTTTAGACTAGAGTTTTTTTAAACTCACCCATCACCCTTCAATACTCCCATTCTCCTGGTACTCAAGCCTAATGGGTCCTATAATCTGATACAAGACCTTAGGATAATCAGTGATGCTGCTACCCCAATTCACCCAATGGTCCCAAACCCTTGTACTATGTTCTCTCATATCCCTCCCTCCACCTCTCACTTCATAGTCCTAGACCTTTAAAATGACTTTTCTTTACCATCCCACCTACACCCCGATTGTCAGGATTCCTTTGTTTTTATGTAGACTGACCCAGACACTCTGAGGTCTCATCAGCTTACACCTGTCATCTCTAGAGTAGAACCTCTCCTCAGGGACACATACCACCTCTTCCTTTCCTATTCATCAATTTCACAGACACGACCTGGTCAGGACTGACAGGTAGATTATACACATATCCCACCACAAAACTCTCAAATATATTCAAATCTTTGTTTGTACTTTTTCAGGATAGAAAAAAGCCTTTCCCACAACCAGGGAGATTGCTGATGTATTAAGTTCATCTCAGAGTATTCAGTCAGATAATGGTCTAGCCTTTGTTTATCAGTTCTCTCAACAGGACTACAACTAAAAGGGAGTGGCCTTTACCTGGTCTTCTTCAGAACTTCAATGGTGGTCAAGGTCCCTGGACTGCCATCCTGGTACCACATCACTCAAGCTAAGTGGTGCCCTCCTAACCCTAACTCCCTTGTATATTAAACATTCTGAGTGGTCATCTCATCTCTTATCTCCCATCTCCATCTCACCAAGGCCCCACAGCCAAAATTTTCTGGCTAAGTCATGTTTTGTTATCCTATTTGGTTCCTGATCCCATACCTTCTGTTAGCTAATTTTTTCACTGTAACTATCTTAGTTCTCTCCACCCTCAGCTGTTTACATGAGACTCTTGTAGGTCTAAGATCTCGTGTCACTTATAGTGACACAGCCACACACCCCCACTCTATAATTTCCCAATCATGATTCAATCATGAGGCCTTATATTTCTCATGCTTCTTATTCTTTCCAGCTCAACTCCTAAAACAAGGATAAATCCTACTTACACTTTTAACTCCTACCCTTTCAGATGGGGGAATAATTACCTCTCAGAACTCCATCCCCCCAACTCCATGCTTATTTTTCAGATTCTTCCTCACCATGGCCCTGATGGAATGACACATTTGGATCAAGGACACTTTCCCTTCTACTTTTCCTGGGTTGTTAATTATGATAGTGATCTGCCTCCTCATAGCACCTTGTGTTTTTTATTTTTCCAATCTAAGATGCGAGCATTCACCAATGATAAATTTTTTGTTCTGGCTGAAACACCTGGTACCAGCTTCTACATGGACATCAACTCTCATCCCATCAACCTTCCTAAACTCCAGTATGGTGCCCCCTTCCTGCAGGAAATAGTCAGAGAGAGAATTTGCCCTTTTCCTAACAATCAAAAGAAGAGAATGAAAGAGTTTTGCCCTAGAATAAATTACAGGACATGTGGCAGTGGAAGGCCAAATTGGAGATGTTTACCCTCAGGTCACTTCCTCCTTCCTCTATTTCAATTTCTTTTTTCCTTTCCCAGTGCACAAAGAAAATTGCAATCAGCTCCTCGCACTTCATCAATGCCCACTCTAAGAACCTCATCGGTGAGAAGTTATATATATCCCATACCCCATATGCAGATCAGAGAAAGCCAGACCACTGTAGGTTGTGAGCTCCTCTCCATGTACTTAGAATAAAGGCTGCTTTTACTTTTATATTCTGCTCTTTTGTGCCGGAATACTCTAACACCCCAACAATAATTAGTCATGGGAACTCAGTGTGATTATCTAATTGTACTTTCAAAGGCTCTTCAAAGTAGGTGTCAGCTTCTCCCTTTTAAAATGACGAGACTGAGCTCCATTGAATTCACTGAGTTGCTCCAAGATATGTAGAGGGTATAGTGAAGAGGCACCTGCCCAGCTCCACAGACCAAGCACTTTGCAAAGGTGAGTGATCCCAAAGGCCAATGCCACTGTTTTCAAAATGGTGTGAGCTGGAGGAGTGAGAAGGATATTCTAGGTTTCCTCCTTACATATCTGAAGATTTATTTTGGTAGTTAAATCCTTGGACCCAGTTGATTTTCTATGGTTGAGGGAAGGATCCAAAATCAATTCTTACCAATATTTTTCTAATACCACCTGCACTTAGATAATGAAATAACACTTGGTTAAGTTTCATACAAACTTGGGAATCAACATTTGCCTTTGAATTATGTGAGATTTTGTTAAGCAAATTCAGACACCTGCATACTTAAGGGAGAAGCTCTTTCCAAGCATTCAATATGTAAATACTAATGATTCATGTATTAGCTACCAATCTGCTTATCCTTTTGTTTACCTTTTGTTGCAATATTCTTTTGATATTGTTTTCAATTCCTTCATGGGAGAGGTTTAGGATCCAGCTAGAGAAAAGAGGTGAGGTGGTCAGGATATATTTTATTATGAAGCAAACTTGTACTGCCCATGAAGTTGAACTTTCCTCCTTTTTCCCATCAATGAGACCCAGGAAGATACATTCAATCTGCAGGAAGATGATTCACAGTACATCTTTATACATCTGTGGTTTTGACTTCTCCAGGGTCCTTACTTTTCCTTACAACCTACTTCTCTGTTTTCTGGCTCCATGGTTCAATGTGACTGACCCTATCCTTATCCCAATGACTAAATATGAGTACAGACCATGGCTCTGTCAATCACAGTTCATAATGATTGATCCAAGCTAAGCCTGTGACTCAACAGAGACCAATAACAGTTTCCCCACTGCTTTGCTTGAGGCTGTCTGGGGAAAAAAGCAGGTGGGAAACAGCCCCAAAGGCATAGTTTGCTGAGCCATGATCTTGATTAGTCTTAAAGTCTTGTACTTTTGCTCTATTAGATGAGCTGGATTGGAGGGGTTTGATGCTGAGACAGCAGTGAGTGTTTCCAGTGAGTATACATGGGGTCACCTACCTTAAGCTTCCAGAAATGTGAACCCTGACACGGCCAATGGAGTTGCTGCACTGGGCCACAGAGGCAGTGGGTCTTCCAGACTGGTCCTTCCCAAAATTCAGAGAAACTGAGATGGAAATGCTGTACACTGTCAGATCAAAGTTGCCCTGTAGGTCACTGGTTAGAAGAAAAGCAATGCAAAATCCTGTATAAGCAGTTGCCTTCAAGATCAGTAACCAGAAGAACACAGAGTTACGTAGACACTAACAAGCTGTGTCCTTTGTCTAGGACTCTACTTACCATGAATAAAAGGAGCCAGTGATTTTTGGGTATGCTATGTGCCAGGCACAGTGCTGGAAGTAGATTATTGTTAGTCCCATTTCCCAGATGATGAGAATGAAGCTTAAATATAGCTGGATCTGGGTCCTTTATAGGCCAGAACTTTAAGATTCCTGAAATGGAATCCACAGAGGGAGGGTGTGCTCTGCCCAAAGATCAAAGCAAACAACATCTTAACCAAGTGCTACTCACATGAATGCCTTTTTCACCTTCCAGTTTCCACCCAAAAATATGTCGTTATTGGGCAAAGAAACTGTTATGTGCTGATTAGGAAGCAGATGTAGATTCCAGTTCCAAATCTCAAAGTGATGGATCTTCAGGCTAGGGAAAGAAGGCAGATTGTCAAACCCAGAAAGGCCAGGGTCATGTCTGTCTCTGAGTAGGTCCCAAGAGCTCCCTCTAACCTCTTAGAGTCTCTTTCAGTTGTATAACCTAAGCCTCAGAGACCATCTGGTCATCCTCTGTATATGTTTCCAGATTGCTCCATCCTCTGGGGAGCCTTCCCCAACCCTCTGAGACCAAAGATTTCTCCTCTCTTTGACCACACTTCTGCAGCTAGCTTCTTCTGTCCCTAGTGATCTGACTGTCAGTGCTTCAAGCAACTTGTGAGCTTTGTTGCAACTTGTGTTGCTTTGCATGTGTCCTGGCTTCTTAGCTGGGGTCTCCAGGAAGCAACTAGCCCTTTCATTCTCTCTCTCATTGCTTCAAACAGAAAACCAGGGCATAAGGCTGTGGATGCAGCTCAATGGCAAATCATGGGCTGAACATGTGTGAGGCCCGATTCTATCCTCACTAAATACTAAAACCAATAGAGAAATAAACAACTACCACGCTCACAATTTAGATCAGGGGTTACGCAGTAATCTGTGAGCTATATGGTGTGTATAGTTCTATCTATCTGTCTATCTATCTTTCTATCTTCCTTTCTTTTTTCATTTCATTTTATTTTTTGAGACAGGGTCTCACTTCAACTTACTTTGTAGCCCAGACTGACCTCAAACTCATGACAATCCTAGTGTCTCAGCCTCCCATCTTTTGGGATTATACTCATGGACTACTGTACCTAGCTTTATTTTTCTCTTTCTGTTTTGTGCTTTTAAGAATTTTAATCTTTTGTTCATTTTAAAATGTGGAAAATTTTATACAAAAAACATGGGAAAATAAATGGTTGGATTTTTGGCTTGTCCTTAAAAAATCAAAAGGGAATGTGACTGTTCACTCTTACTTCCAACACCCGTCAATTGCAGCTGAGTAGCAAGTGCCCCTATTTGGAATTAGGCATCCCAGGCAAGTGCTACAAATCTCTATTTGATCATTTATTCTCGGATCTTTTCCCTGGCCTTTCTTTGCTCTGAGCCATATTGAATAGGGCTGACCTGTGCAAACTACATTACCCAGATGGCTTTGCAAAAGGCTTCTAGTTAGGATTGGCCAATGGGAAGCATTCAAAGAGACAGTAATTGATGGGAGGAGGGAGATTCCAGGATATTTCTTCTCCGTTCTCCTCTGGGAGTTGTCTTTAGCAGTGGTTACACATCCACAGAGGGTCAGTTCCTGCCAAGAATCCTCTCCAAGGCTCAAGTCTCCCTAAAGCACTGACCTAGGGCTGAGCAATGGTTTCTAAGTGTCCTCCTTTCATCCTGATAATGCATGAAACACAGAACTCTCATCAATCCCATAAGAGCTAGCCATTACCCTCCCTCTACTGCTGAGTCCATGTCGATTCCTCTCCCCTCAGCCTCGGTTCCCATCCTTCCTCCTTGGTTTTCTGGGATGGTGAAAGGCAACCTTACTTGTAAAAGTTATAGCTGACTCGTCCAAACCAACCCATTTTAAAACTTCCTGTTAAGTCAGGCAAACTGACAGTGGACAGCTTCTGCTTCAGGATGGTGACTGCATATTGTTGGGCTGGAGGAGTGAAATAGAAGAGTATTTGAATTAGTTATTTGGTGGGAGGCAGCCTGGGTGGTCGGGTTTTGCAATCAGGTACACAATGGTAGTAAACAAAATGTGCTACTTACTAGTAATGCAAGCCCAAGCAATCTTTTAAAATACCTGGACCTCAGTTTCCCCATTAGCAACATCATAATGTTAATTCTGACTTGAGTCTGAGAAGTAAATTAGATCAGGACTCCAAAATGTCAGGTAAATGTCAGTCTTAGTTTTTTATTTATTCAATCAGAGTTGGAGCAAAGGTGCGAGTACAAGGTGCTCTTGTGGACTAACTCACTGCAGTTTGATCAGACCTTCAGCTCTACAACTGTTGCCAGGGCAAAACATCAGCAATGCAGATTCCCAGACCCCCACTTAGGCAATCTTGGGTGGATTCCTGGAAAGTGTATTCTAACATACGTATATCCCAGCATTTTTGTCTGATTTCATTTGTTTGTTTGTGTTTTCAGTTTTTGATACAGGGCCTCCTCACTGTGTAGTTTAGGCTGGCCTTGAGCTTACTATCCAGCCCAGAGTAGCCTGGAACTCATGGCGTTCCTCCCGCCCTAGCCTCCAAAGTGCCAGCACACCTGTGCACCCCAGTAATTTTAGTGTAGGAAAAAGGCTGATCTAGTCCTATCCTTGTCCTCCCGTATTCAAGATGGGAATAGTGAAGCCCAGGGGGTGACATCCAAAGTGCCTAATTCAGATAGTGGCTTTACCACAGCCTGTCACAGACTGTTTTCATGATCTCAGTACTGTGGTAGGCCAAAAAGGGCATCATAAGAACCAACCCAGTCACCTTACCATATTCCAGGCCTTTCTTGGTGATTCTTGCCACGAACCCAGGATTAGAATTTCCTACTGCAAACCTGGAAAGCCCTGCCAGCAGCAGGACCACTAGCACACAGTGCGGTCTGGCTGTCATGGCTGTCCTCAGGGCTTCCCTAGGCAGATGCGGTCAGAGGCTCTTTGTAGGGTCCTCCTTTACTGCAGATGATAGCAGAGCTGAGGTGCCTATAAATCCAGGGGGCAGATAAGGAACTGAGCCTGTGGGGAGTGGGGTACGGAAGAATTTAGGATTTCCGGGCTGTTTCGTTACAACAAATGTGAAATATGATGAAGTCTCCTTGTGAAATCATTTCAGGATTATTTTTGCCTTGAGAGTAGCAGAAGTGTTGCCACACCTCCGAATTCTTACTCTGCCCAGCTTTCCTGCTCAATCCAGCTACAAGAGCCTCCCTAGTCTCTCTTTCAGATTGAACAATATCCATTCATTCTGTGTTATCTACATATGGAAATCTAAACCCCCAGCTTGGCAAAGGACGCCACTGCAGCATGGCTGCGTGCCACAGGCCACTCCAACTGGATCTTCCAGTGCTCCTAACCCTGCCTGAGCCCTGCAATCTGCCTCTGCTGGTATCTGCTGGTATTTTCTGTTCCCTGCTTAAACCATGCATCAGGTAACAACTACACACTCGCTTTCAGACCCTTTAAGATCTCTTGTCTGTGTTCTTTTTCCTAATCAGTATCCTTGAGGTATCATTTATATGAATATAATGCACACATTTTAAGTTTAAAGAAACATGAATATTGATATACACATGCATCTGTGTGATCACACTGTGATCAAGGGACCATGCATGCCACCACCCCAAGAAATCCTCCTGTGACTCTTTCCAGTCATCTCCTTTCTCACAGTCAATCCCAGAACCACTGCTGTCCTTTCTGCTAAACAGATTGTCTTTACTTCTTCTAGCACTTCATGTTCATGAAATTATTTAGTGTATGTATTTTTGACTTGCTTCTTTTATGTAGCATTATATTTTAAAGATTAACCTTTGCTTTTGGGTATGTATAGTGCTTTTTTGGGGAGTTGTTTTTTGACACAGGGTCTCATTATGTAGCTGAGACTGGTATGAACTCCCAATGTAGCCTAGGCTGATTTTAAACTCACAGCTATCCTCCTGCCTCAACCTCCCAGGACCTGGGATTTCAGGTATGCGCCACCATGCCCGGCCCTCTATAGTTCCTGTTTATAGCTGAGTAGAACTCTATCAAATAGCTAGAACAATCCTTGTAATGCACTGTATTATATTCTTGTCATGTAGGAACCATTTTCACATGGTTAAAAAATCAGTCAGAATAAAAAGATGCCTATTGAAGAATAACTTACTGCAGTTTCATCAGACCTTCAGCTTTATCGCTGTTGCCAGGATAACATGACAGCTATGCAGATTCCCAGACTCAGCTTAGTCAGTCTTGAGGAGACCCTTGGAATGTATGTTTGTCATACTGTATGTGTCAGAAATTTAATGTAGTGAACAATATCATATTCATCTTGTGTTTGTGTGTTTTCTCAGTTTCTGTATCTGTTCCACCAAATCAAGATAAAAATCTACTGAGATAAATTGTAGCAGACATAGGAAGTGTTTTGAGGGCTTATATTTTAGGGCCCGTGGAAACCCATAGAACAACTAAAAGAATAGGGGAGTTTGCATGTGGTTTTGAAGCATGGGTAGAAGTTTCATAGCAGACATAGAAAGGAAAAGTATCGTAGGCAGAGAGAGCAGAATGAGCTATGACGAGAAAGTGAAAATTGTCCATTTCAGAAGGCACAAGAAACCGTGGGAGAGTCAAGGGTGAGAGAGGGAATGTGAGGAGAGAGAAGGCATGTGAGTAGACCAGAATGTGAGTAGACCAGAAGGCAAGACAGAGCCTTATTGGAGGCCTTTTTAGCCTGCATAAGCAGGAGATGGCTTTAATTTTTGAGCAACTGGTATCTCCCAAGATCCATTGACACCTTTGCCCCCTGTATAGCATCTCACCCTGATTCCATAACACAGTAGTCATATTTGCCTTAAGGCTCAGTCTTATTATGCTAAAATTGCATCACATATTCCACTTATGCTTTTCTCTTTGCTTCCATGTATGCCTCCCATCGCTCTTGAGACTTGCAGCATGTGTGTGCGTGCCTGTGTGTGTGTGTGTGTGCGTGTGTAGTGCATACTTCACTTCCTGATCTATTTTCCATTGTCTGTGCCTGCTACATTCCTTTAAGGAAGGCTCCCAACCCACAGTGAACTCTGTCAGTGATGATCTCCATTCCAAGCAGTGCTTCCAGGCAAGGACCGGTGTCATCTTCAAACCCTGCCTGTGCCCAGAACTGACGTGGTTGGCGTTCCCGTTGGGAGACGGATGATGAGGGAGACCCTTGCTGCTGCTTTTCCTGCCAGTCCCTCCATTACAGCTGGTTCCCATGTCCTTCCTCTGCACCCTGCAGCCCAGGAAGCTCAGGAGGCCCTTGCTAAGCTGATAACCATAGGAAAGGAGAAGGAAATCTTTATGTCACAGGGCCCCTACATTGTTAGGAGCAGTTGGGAAACTTCAGTTTCCTAAATTCTGTAAATACATCCTTTCCCGCTTCCCCTTGATGTCCCCATTGCTTTCTCCTTGTTTACATGTCTGTGACCAAATCCTCCTTTCCTAGGGACATGAATCCAAGGTGGATTAACGTCCCCAGTTAGCATGGATTTTTAGCTGTGTGCAAGATGGAAATCTGATGTGGAGCAGCTCCTGCGCTGCTTCTCCTTTGCTGATGACTCGCACTGTTGTCTGCCCTCCTCTTCCAGGCCTTCTAAAGGGCAGGGTCCACACACAGGCTTCCAACACAGGTTCTTTGACAAATCTGAATGGAAATCAATGGTTGGCGAACTGTATCTTCTAGTATTAACAGCCCTGAAATTTGAATGCCAGTGGCTATCAGCTCTTAGAGCTAGTGGCCTTCTTGTCACTCAGAGCCAGCAGGTCCTGGCAGGCTTTAGGAATTCTTCTGCCCAGTGGAGGTGGTGGCTTTTTGCATTTCTTCACTGCTCTCCATTGTTTTGTGGCTGCTGGCTGCCTTGAGTGTTAGGAGTTCTGGTTGCTGGCTGCTTTTGCTGTCTGTGCCCTTGAATGTTACCAGTTCTTGTGTACCAGCTCAGCATGTTCAACTCAAAATAGAAATCAAGCATAGCAAAAATGTGCCACTCAGAGGAGACTTTAGCAGGACTTGTGCTGTAGCATGAAGGGGAATGGCAAGGGGGCGGCACCTGTGACGGGTGTGGGCAGGTTGCTACATAGGAAAGCAGGCGAGCTGGCGAACGTGCAGTGTCAGACTTCCTGTTTGCTCATGAGTAGGGGAGAACCACAAAGTCATTTCTAGGCTCAATTGCATTCATGGAGGACTGGGCTGTGCTTTTAAAGCATATCTTAATAGGCAATACCAACCCATGATAAAAATAAAGATACAAACAGTACAGAAAGGTGAAGTGAATGCCTTCCATTACAGCCCCTGTTAGTTGGCCCCCTTCCTAGAGACAATGTTTTTCCTGTCTTTCTAGAAGTACTTTGTGACCGCAGAAGCATGAGTGACAACCAGAGTCCTCTAGATCTTGTTTTTCTGTTTTAAATTTTTATTTATTTATTTTTATTGTATTTTTCTTTTAATCACAGAGCTTGGCAATGATTACTTTCTTTCTTTTTTTTTTTTTTTTTTGTCTTTTCCCTTTTTATCGGTACCAGGGATCCAACTCAGGACTGCCTGCTTACAAGGCAGGCCGCTGAGCTAGATCTCCAGCCCTAGCAATGATTTCTTATCAACCTGCTCAGATCTGGCTCATCCATCATAACTGTCATGTTTCTGAATTAGAACCTGCCTAACTAGGAGACTGAACTTCCCCAAACAGATCTGCACCTAGGGAAGCATTGTATTCAACAGGAAACTGACAGCTGTCTCCACACAGCTCAACCTGCTAAGAGCTGGTTCCATGAAAAACCACAAGAGCCCTACTGTGCCTGACAGCATCCCTGTAACACCCTCTTTATCACCTCGCCTTAGACACCCTGCTCAGAGACCCAAAATGTTGTACTCAGCCGTACCCTCCCTCCACATAAACTTCCCTATGAAAACACGCCCTCAGCCCGTGCTCAGGACCAATGCTGTTTTCACCCTTGGCCAAGCCGCGCCTGGTCAGCAGTCCAGACTTTGCACATTGCTTCAACTTCGCCTGCCTCAGTGGTGTCAGTTGCATCTTGGTTTAGCCTAATAGTCACCACTGTAGAGAACTTCATCCCATGGCTGTTCACAGCTTATTGAATCAGCTTCCTTCTGATGGACATGTGCATTAGTTCCATTCTTGCTGTGACAAACTCTTGCATCAAAAATGTCATTTTACAATTTTATTTATGTGAATGTGTGAATAAATCTGTGGGAGTTTCTGAGAAGCAATTATCTGTGTGATAGTATATGTGCCACCAGCCCTGACCCTAGTGCATATTTTTTCAGTTGTGATTTCATTAATTTCTGATCTTTATTTACATGATTTGTTCTTGCCTTTCCAAAAAACTTGAGTACCATCTTTGGTTGTTTATGTGAGATCTTTCTGGATTTTTCATGTATGCATTTGTTGTTATAAAATTTTATCTTAGTTGAGCCAGGCATGGTGGCTCATGCCTGTAATCTCAGCACTTGAGAGGCTGAGGCAGGAGGATCATTGTGAGTTCGAGATCAGCCAGGGCTACAAAGTGAGCTCAAGGCCAGCCTGAACTGCATAGCGAGACTCTGTGTCAAAAAGACAAAAAACAAAACAAACAAACAAACAAACTTGTCTTAGTGCTGCTTTTGCTGTGTTTGATAGATTTCCCTATCATAAATTGTGTTGTGATTTCCTTTGTTCCTAGAAACTATTACTTTCTTTTTAATTCCTTCAATTACCCATGGAAGACCTTGACTGTGGACAGACAGGACAGAGGAGGAAACCCTGTGAGCTGGAGCCAATTGCCTGATGGGCCTTGACCCATTTTCCTCTCCTCAGCAAGCAAAGCTTGGACCGTGTTTCAGGGTCCACTGCTCTCCCACATAAATGTAGCACATTCTGATGTAAGCCATGTATGGCAATACTGTCTCCTTCTCCATGACTATAGAGGAGGCATGTAGTACAGT